CAAAGAAACAAAAAAGACGGCTACTTTATCAAACAAAGCACCTCTCTGTATAGCATGAATCAAAATGCATAGATCCTCAAAATCCAAAATTTAATTGAAACGCAATGAGAATTGAGCACAATGTGTTATTTTAACTTGAGCTGAATCTAACTTTTAAAAAAAAAAAAAAAAAAACAAAACAGACGAAATTTCATAACCCGTGTCCAAATTCCGGAATTTTAGAAACAGAGAAGGAGAAAAAAAGGAAAACATGCATAGCGTCGTAGATCACACCAAAACAAAAAACAATTATTGGGAAGCCAAGTAGAAATGGAAGTAAGCAATGAATGAAAGACAGAGAAATCATACGGAATCACGGGAAGCCCACTGATCCCAGCACGAAACGAAGCACAAGCACCCCCGAGAATTCGAAATCTGGGAATTCAATAGAACGTGATTCGGACTAAATAAAAACTCAACACTTTTCGGAGAGAAACAAACAACAAAAACTATGTCAGACGGAGAAATAAAATCGAAAAAGATGAGAAATTTACACTCCGTCGCAGAGGAGAAGAAGAAGAAGAAAGAAAGAATTGAGAAAAAAAGAAATGCACTCACGAGAGAAAGAAGAAGAAAAGACACAAAGTTCGTAGGAAGAAGAAAATGTGTATGTTGGTTGTGTCTGGTCCTTGAAGTTCGCGCCTTCCTCCTTCCCTTCGTGTGTATATTATGATTCCCCCACCCACTCAAGTGGTCTGTCTCTCTGTGGTCTTTTTCTATTCTTTTTTTTTTTCAATTCACTTTATGCTTTTTTTGGGGATCTTACTTATTTCATTGGCCTTCTTCATTTTTTTCTTCTACTATTAAACTAGGTTCGGACCCGCGCTACAGCGCGGAAGAAATAATTACATATATATAACTTTTATCGGAAGAATATGTTACATTTTAATTTTGTTAGAGTGCAGTCGATTACGGTAAATCATATAGTTTAAAGAAAATAATAAAGGAAAAAGCGAGTAAATAATCATATACCGAGTTTTGATACAATTCAAAACACGGTGAAAATTTAATAGCACAAAATATATTTTTCGATAAATTATTCATTTTAACCATTTTTGTAGTAAAAGTAGGAATATACGTAAAAATTACATATTTACAATATATTTTTGAAAGTCCAACCCGTAACAGAATTCATTTCGTAAAAAACATTATTCGTAACTCGTTTTATCATTATAATTGTGATTTTAATAAACTACCCGTGAATTATCTAAAATTTACTGATATATAATATATTTTTATCAATAAAAATTATGTCTCTAAATTACATTTATGTCTTCAAAAAAATATTTCGATATTTTAAATTCTAAAAGTTTTATATATTTGAACCTTTTATTTATAATATGCTCATGTAACAATGGTTTTAATATTGGTCATACTTATAATGATTTTAAACCGTTGTCCAAAATATTTAACCGAGTGTAGTTGAGTATTATATGTCCGTTTTGAAAAATTCAAATTGCAACAAATGCAAAAAAAAAGTTAAATTTTTATTAAATATTTATATTATATAGTATAATTTCATAAATTAAAAATAATATCAAATAAAAGTGAAAGAAAAATAATATTTTTTAAATAGATTGTATTAAATTAATTAGTGAAATATTAGTAAATCTTATAATTAGTTATGGAAATAATACAATCCTAAAATTAGATTTGGAAAGTATCCGGTGTATGTATCCAAACCCATTAATCTATCCAATTTTAAAAGTTCCAGTTACAAATTTCGGATAATTTTTTGAAATTGAGCCGACCCGGAAGCACTTTTTGTACTTCTCTTTTACTAATATAGGGATACAGTTTCGAGGCTGACCAACAAAATAAAAAAATATTAAAAATTGAATTTGTTCCCCAAAAAAATAAAAATACATAAAAGACAATAGACCCTACAAAAATATTCACGTTCCGTAGCTTTGTGGTTCAAAAATTTTGAATATAATGTAAAATGTATATAGAGGAAACTAAAACATAAAAAGTATTTCTAACAACTTTTTTTTTTTTTTGGTAAAAGTATTTCTAACAACTTGTATAAACATGCAACAAGCATGATATCACATAACAAGAATCATGAGAGAAAAAAAAAAAAAAAGAAGAATCACTTTTAATTTCCTTCAATGAGTGTCGTGGCCAATGAAATCTCCAACGGCCACAATTACTACTTTTTCTTTTTTTTTTCTTCTTCTATAAACTATAATTTATGTAAAGAATAATGAGAGGCTATTTTCGAAAGTCTTCTTTCATTCTTTTTGACTATTGTTTTTTTTCTCCCTTTTTTGGATGGCTTCTGAATTTTCCCATCGGACAACTGAAAATTCTAACTTATAATATAATAACTAAATAGAAATAAACCAATTTTTTATAGCCATTCAAATGCCAATTTTATTATTATAAATAAAATAAATACCTCAACAATATAATTTCTTTGTTTTTTAATATAAAAAATGCAATTTCTAAAGGAAATGGTTGGCATCTTATGACCGACATTTAAATTTTCATCAACAACAAAAAAAATCACCATATGATTCATGTTTTGTGTTTTTTCATTATTTCAATTTTCAAATTATTTAAGTAGGAAATGAGAACATATCATATTTTGTAAACAATATCCCACAAACTTAGCTCGTTTGGGTTTTTTTTAATAGAAATTGTTGACAAAAAAATTTCAATCATATTTAGGTTAAAAATTTACTTCATTAAAATATATATTATACAACGCACGATAGATCCGAATATATATGTACTAGTATAAAGTCTAATTAAAAAGAAGATAGTAAGTCAATTGTTAAAATCAAATGTAGCTTAATCGGACCAAAGTCATTTTCGTAAGGTTTAAACACATGGAACTAAACAGAGTTTTTCTAAAAGTTAGTATAAATGTTGTGTTTTCGAAGTTCACATATGGGCCGAAGGTCACCAACAGCATACTAACTGGGCCGATAAAGACTTTTTTGTTCAAACGAAACGATAATAAACTCATGAGAACAAGAACACGAATGATATAGTAAGACTTACGAAAAAAGCCGACGCATGAAGAGAAGATGGAGTTGAGATGAACTAAACCATATGGTTGGGATAGCAACAACACCTTCTTTATAAAGCATACAGCTTCTTCTATAATGTCCTATTTAATTTATATATATAATATATATATTTCTATTTCTATTTAATTTATATTAGTGTACCCAAATAGGTTTATTCAGAATTCGTAGCTTACACCACTGCGTGATTTTTTTAAAAATGATGGGACATGAAAATACTCAAACTTCGTACTATGAAAAATCAAACTAGATTTTCTATAATAATCAAGAGTGTCCATCAAATATTCTTATATTCATTTGTGAAAAATAAAAGAACAAAAATAGATGGTTTTTATTTATGTATTGGGAAATAGAGAACATAGATAGTTATTACAATGAAATGTCGCAGAAAATTATTACCACTCTTATTGACGCATGCAACTCCCAGCGTTTCGAGTTTATATATGTCTAAATTTTTTTAATGTGCCAGCTCTATCATTGCCTCTAGTGTTTTTTTTATTTTCCCTTTTATACAGAAATATTATTTCCCAAATAGACCACTCAGATTTTCTACTCAGCAGACTCTCTAAAATATGAAAAACAAACTATAATTATGAATCATATCATTAATTACTACTGTTGTTGTATTAATTGCAGATTATTGTCCATGCAAACAAAAAAAGAAAACTCAAACCTTTTCCACAATACCATAAATTCTTAATAAGTAAATGAAATCAACAAAACAAGATGTCAAAAAAAATTTATATCAACAAAACAAATTCTGAGTTTCGCAAAATGCAATAATAACATCGCATAATACTTTATAACATAAAAAAGATAGATACGTCTGTTGAGGGCACAAAGATCAAGATATTTGTTTAATGGGAAGAGAAGGAGCTTCTATTCTCTTTTTTCTTTCTTACAATCACACTGATTTGTTTTTTTGGTGAAGAAAAAGAACCCTAATCCCAAGAGAGTCAAATTCAACTTCTAATTAAATATCTCCATAACCTAATTCCTAACTCTCATGCCACTTACTTAATTATAATGCAAAAAATACTAATACTACAAAAATAATATAGATGATTAATCTGATACACTAATCCAAGATTCCCGGACGCTGGTCCAAGGGTATCATTGTACAAAATATTTGGCATTACAGATTTTTAATGTCATGAGAATCTATATTGATAAAAAGGTCTCATATGAATAAATTCTGATTTTGACATTGGTAATAGCCAGTTACTATCGATCTTTACACCTTCCAATTGTTGCAGCAAGAAACTTCATGATTTATGTACTTACTTGAGGAACATATATTTTAGATTCTGTAATAGTCCTCTTAACTCTTTTGGGTTCCCATCATCATATGGGGGTTTTGAGCAATAGTGGTGTACATGTACATATTTGCCGTCTAATATACTACTCTATCTTTACAACTAATTTCTGTTAATCAAAGATTCAAGAAAATATTTAAACACTAGCTAGAGACTGACACATGAAACTTCGATACCGAAAGAGCTCTAAGATCAAAGCCGAATCTTTTTAAAACATACACGTGATTTTTGTGCCTCCCAAGACCATCTTAAGCGGTCCATGTTTTCATGTTTTAGTGATAAATCTAAGATTATTAAGTCATTAAACTAATCTGTGTGATCAGTAATTTACCAGCTTGCAACTCAGAACGTCCATTATTATTTACAACCATCGTCACATGCTAGACACAATCAATACTATTATGTCATTATCTAATAAGTCTACAATCATTAATATTTGTATTTATACCTATATATCTCGTTATTAAATACTCCGAATTATTTACTACTTTATACATAAATTATATCCCACTAGCTAGTTTCTGAACTTGTAGTACTATTAATAAGTCCGTCGAGTAACTACTCACTGAACCTCTTTATATCTCTCTCTCTTTTTATGATCTCTCTCGTCTGTTTTTTTCAAAGGAAACAAAAAGAATGAGAAAGAAAGTAAGTAATAGTGGAGAAGAAGGAAACAATGAGTACAAGAAAGGCTTGTGGACAGTAGAAGAAGACAAGATTCTCATGGATTATGTCAAAGCTCATGGCAAAGGCCACTGGAATCGTATTGCCAAAAAGACTGGTCCGTTAATTTCTCTCTTTCTCTACTCTTTTTGTTTGGGTCATGGAAGGGTTTAACGTTAAGGTTTTATATGTTATGCTGTTTTAGACTTGCATGCCTTCTTAGTTAACTTTATGTTATTGTCTCGTTGGAAAATATATCATGCCTTCCTTAATTTCATTTACTGTTCATGTGTGAGAATACCTGGTTGATGTTAACATATATGAGTGGGTTACATGTAAAGAAAGAAAAGAATTGTGAATTTAAGATCATCATTGATGAATAAGTTGTGTTGTGTATATGACTATTAGGGTTAAAGAGATGTGGAAAGAGTTGTAGATTGAGGTGGATGAACTATCTCAGTCCAAATGTGAAACGAGGCAATTTCACCGAGCAAGAAGAAGATCTTATCATTAGGCTCCACAAGCTGCTTGGTAATAGGTATATAACTTAAATCATATTTACTTAAAAATGTTTTTTATCTACTCATCAATTGAACTATTTATTTATTTATTTTTAATGAATAAATTAAACAAATTATTTCAATACGAAGAAAAATACATTTCTATCCATTTTTCATCGCTGTAAATATATAATTCATAAATAGTCGTGATTGACTTCGCAAGCTTGCTCGGTAAACAACACATGGTTTTATTCTATCTAACTTTCAATATAACACAATCACATGATAATTAGTACTACTACTATTAGTTAATATGTGTATTTTAATTACAGGTGGTCTTTAATTGCTAAAAGAGTGCCGGGTCGAACGGATAATCAAGTGAAGAACTATTGGAACACGCATCTTAGTAAGAAACTAGGAATCAAAGATCCTAAAACCAAACAGAGCAATGGTGCTGATATTGTGTATCAGATCAATCTCCCCAATCCTACTGATACATCAGGAGAAACAAAAAACTCCAATATCGACGATAACAATAGCATTCTCGGAGATGAAATTCAAGAAGATCGTCAAGGAAGCAACTACTTGAGTTCACTTTGGGTTCATGAGGATGAGTTTGAGCTAAGTACACTCACCAACATGATGGATTTTATAGACGGACACTGTTTTTGATGATGTTTCTTTTTCTAGTATTGGTTTATGTTTTGTTATAGCTTCAAAAGCTGGTCAAACACTAATACATCAACAATCTTAGATTAAAAGTTGTTGATGTCCTAGTGTATGATTGGCTAAGTCTTTTAATTAACTAGGTGAACTTCTCGTGGGTTAAATGTATATGTTTAAAAACTCTAAGCATCTATAAATGTTATTTTTGTTTCTTGATCTTTCTTTCCTAATTAGCAAAAGAAAAAAAAAACATTTGAATCTTTTTGTGTGAGGTGTTCTTATATAGACCTATTAAATGTTGGTTCAAGTTATAAGCTCTAAAAACTAAAATAGTCTAAAGATAACGGTAGGCTAGAAGTTGTTAACACTATAATTTTATGTATTTTACGTCTTTAATATTATTGAAACATGAAAAGAAGAAAAGCATAAGTGGATACAGAAACTAGTACTACATATGATGTGATTACTAAATTATTTGTGTTTCCCTAAGCTAAAATGCCGAAGATAGTTAAACGTACTAATGTGTGTATTTAAAAATGAGAGATTAGACACAAACCTTGATTGCCCTGCGATGCTTTACTATAAACGAAAAAAGAAGAAGTTAATAGTAGTCAGACGATATAATGGGTCAAAATATCACACTTCCCTAAACAATTCTATAAATTTGTATGACGAAGCTGTCCCCCATCTTAATAGTTCGAAATTTATGTTCTTTGTCTTTGATTTTTAATATGTTCTTTGAAAGCTTGTCCCCCCCCTCTTCCTCCTAGATTTTAATTGCACAGAGACAATTACGTTATATACTACACTGCATGAATACTGTTGCATTACATATGAAATCTATATTCTAAGTGGAGGCTTGTTGTCTTGTTTATGATCTCTATACATGGGGACATGTAAGTCATGTAAAATGAAAATGAAGAAGTAATGATCCCCCAAAGATTTTATGACGATATGACATATATCTAATCTAGACGACAGTTTAACTTCATCTTGCAAATTCAAGAAACTCCATTTCGCAATTTTTATTATAAATTTTCTATGGCTTTGCTATTCTTTCATGTTCTAAATGAAATCAAATTAATGAAAACAAAAGAGTTTTTTTTTGAACTGACAAAAGCAAATTATATTTATGAAAATCAACATGATTTATTATAATTTTTCATAAGACGCATGCATAATGAAGGAAAAGAAGTTCATCGCAAGTAAAGGTGCATGACAATTACAAACAGCAATTATATATATAAGAGTATAACATCTTAATGATGGTGATCATGATGATGACGATATGATGCTAGCTGGTGATGATGATACTCATGATGGTGGTGGTGACTGCTGATGATGTATTGTTTCATATGGAATGAACTGGGGAAATTCCAAATTGGAGTTCCCAAAGCTCAAAGGCGCCACTAACAAAATCATAGTAGCCTCCCTTCAAAGCAAGTGTTCCTTTCACAACCCCTTCTCTCACAAAAGGATATGTCAATAGGTTTCCTAGTGACACATTCACTGCCTCCTGCAATCATTCATACATTTTTATATTTTAGAAAACACAATGCAACAATATATCTCACTAAGCGAATGAATAGTACAAGACTAAATGGAGTGTGTATATACGTAAGTCACACGTACCCTTTCGCATCGGCCACACTGGTCCTCAAATCCTGATTTTTCACTTTCTGCCAAAACCTTTGACTTTGCTGGTAAACAGATTTTTACCCAATCCTCTATGAAATCACTGCAATTTAATTAAACATATATATATCATCAGAACTAACAAAAATAATAATAATAATCATTTCCCCTAAGAAAAGTATCTTATATGGGACAATTTTAAAAAATGTCAAACATAGAAAAACTTACGTGGAGTTGTTTCCATCAAGAGGAAATGACATAAGCCCCTTGATGCCACCACATGCACTGTGCCCTATCACCACAATGTTTTCCACCTACATTCATAAATTTCAATCTCTAAGTATTAATGGATGATATTGGAATTCTCACATAACATTAATCACAAATTCACAGTACACAACACTAAACACAGCCGGCCCAATAAGGCCCGTTACGCATCGCACCAATATTGAATTCCCTACTCCATGAATACGTCTATCTATCCATTTACATGTGGTTTTTTCTCATTGTCCCATGACCATTTATAAATGTCATGCCATACAAACTAATAAGTAAGATTGACCTTACATGCATCCAAATATCTGATGCATCAATCAACTTTTAGAAAATCACAAAAGCAGTATAAAGAGATTGGAGCAGAGAGAGACTGACCTTAAGGTGCAAGACAGCGTATTCAATGGCGGCTCCAACTCCTGCATACTTGACCTGCAATTATTATATGAAACAACAGAGAAGTCTCGTCATATGTCAAAGTCAAACACTCCGTTTGAGTCAGAATGTTCAGTGATCGATGTCGATGAATGTAGAGTACTATAAAGTGTTACCTTGTCAAAAGGAGGAACCATGTTAGCGATATTACGAACCATGAAGGCATCACCTGGATGGAAGTTTAGTATGTGTGATGGGCACACTCGTGAGTCCGAACAAGCAAACACCATGTACTGCACAATTCATTATATACTATAAATCCATATATATGTAACATGTACTGATATAGACAACGTACAGTACAATATATATTCAATTTGATTTGTTCTCTTATATACCTTTGGGCTTTGACCTTTGGCGAGTTCACCGTACAAAGCAGGATTCGTACTGCAATGCAATGAGTTGATAATATATATTACTAAATTATTTATTGATAAGAAAATTTAAATTGAGAAGAAGGGAGAGATGAAAAGTTAAATTAGTTACTCGTATTTCTCCTTCTTGAAGGTGACGAAGCCTTCCTTGATCCGTCCGACGGGATCGAAAGATTTGCTGTCGGACGACGTGACTGCCTGAAGCTCGGCAGTGATCTTCTTCACCTTGGCCGCAGCCACATCCTTCAGCTCATCCTTCTCACTGCCCAAGATGAATTGCTATATGAACTATATATACACGAATATAATTACAAATAAAAAACCTAAGAAAAAAAGAAGTAACAATTCCATTCTTTTCCCGATCTTTCTTTTGATTGAAAAAAAAAACAAAATTCTTTTTGTTTGTATGAAGAATCAACCATTTTTGAAGAAAAAATCTATGAATTTTCGGTTACTATTATATTACTACGTACATAATCTACGACATTTTGGTGATCTTCTATCGATCGGTTATGAAATACGTTCTTACATGAGAAGCTTCTTGAGTGATTCGATGGCTTCTTCATATGATTCGCTTCCCATGCTTTCTCAGTTCTCTGTGCAAATCAATTGAACCCAAAAAAATCATTTATAAATAAAAAAATATGATCCTCGTACCAAAAAATCAGAAAACGCAAAAGAGAAACTATTTAATAGTAGTAATATAGGTACATGCTTAAAATAGGACACGTATCTATCTTATAATAAATAAATAAATAAAATTGAAGAAAAAATCAATAAATAAAAGGAATAAAGTTTTTTTTTCTTTTTTCTTATTACGTGTATTTATCTCTGCAAATAAATTTTGACCACATCATTTCATTAATTTAAAGTAATAAAAATATTTAATTCCAAAAATAACATAAGATTTTATACTAAATATAGGCATACAATCTATTTTAGTGTCTGTAGTCAAATTTTCTATATGAAACAAATAATTATTTATAACTCCATATATATCTAAACTAGCTATCTTTCTAAATTGTAAAATGATTTCTCACAGAATAATATGACCATTACCTAGAAACAGATTATGGCTAGTATTTAAATTGGAACATGAAAACCGGATATCGTTGTGAATTAAGTTGTTAATTATCGAAGATTTAAAGATGAAACTACTACAAAACACAACAATACTTTTTATAAAATGTGATGGACAGAATTTTCATGGTAACAGTTATAAGAAATCTATTTTATTTTTATTTTGGTTTACTAATTATAAAAAAGGTAAGGGAATTAAATGGATTAACGGAAACGCGAGTATGTTCCAAGAGTTTTGTAAGTTTGGCGAATATATACTTAATTACAATACACATTATAACCTCTCTCTCTTACGTTACTGACCAACAAATCAACAAGCATGTACGTAGATGAACATTAATATGAAGGGTCTCTTTAGTTTTTTTTTTTTGTTAGAAAATATTTAAAGCGTGTAGCAGAAATTAAATCAAATGCAAATTAGCTCTCAAAGCACCATTGAAAGATCCTTAACTACCGTACGTACTACCTTAGCTTTATTCATATAGTAGTATAATTATAAAGCATCAAATACTCCTTTACAAATATATGATATATATATATGAGAGATGATGAGTGAATAAAAGAGAATTGTATTAGTTATATATATATTATATATACCCAAATGGAAGTGACTGAAGCTAGTGCAGCGCGAGCACAAGCTCTGTTTGCGGATAGACGGGCAACGGCAAGAGGAAGAGGAGATAGACAGGCAATGAGAGGGATGCAGAGAATTAGGATATTTATAATACAAAAGTATAAAAAGAAGAGTAAATGTAATAATGTAAATATTAGTTATATGAAGAGTAGTCGTTTGAAAGAAGAGAAATATGGACTTTTAGGGTCTCATGGATAAGGATAGCGAAAGGTGAGGTGTCTTTTTTTTCTTGTGGTGGATAAATAACTTCTCTCTATCCAGTTTAATTGATGTTACAGTATGTGATTATATGAGGGATATGCACATCCATTAGTTAAATATAATAAGTTATGATCAAGACGATTATATATAAATCAATTCACTGTTGTAAAACAATGTGTATGCCTCTCCTTATATTATCAACCATTACATTTCACATCACATGACTCAAATTTTTTCATATCAACCAGTTAAAAAAGGAGCTATGTTTGTCTTACCTACCATATCTGAGTTTTGAGTTATCACACTAAAACTGTATTTTTTTAAAAATGGTTCAAACATAAGGAAAATATTGATCGAAAGTTGAAATTTTATCGGATAGGGAAAAAAAAAACAAGTGGTGGAGATGAAGAAGGGATTGAAGAGTGTGGATTATGAAGAGGATAAGATCTTATCACCAAAACAAGGCTATACTTATATATTCCATTTTCTAGCTAACCTTATCTAAATAGACACCACCATTTTGGATTTGTGTTTTTATTTATTTTACCTGTTTTCTGGCTTTTGTAGCAGATGAGATCATAGCCTCCCGAGTCTGATGAGCCATTATAACAAACTGTCGCCTAATAGAGGACCAAATTTCCAGGGCAAGAAACATCTTTGTACATTATTGTTTACAGACATGAACTTTTGTTATCAGACTTTTATGTAACGGAGGAGATTGTGGATGACAAAAAGATGAATGAAATTGGACTAAACTTCAGGGAGAAAGAAAAGAAGAGAAAAAAGAAGGAAGCTAATTAACATACTCTCTACATTTTGTGATTATGCATGTCATTTTTCTGCCTTGTTGATTAATCGATTAAACAAAAGCATTGGATACTTAACGAGCTTCTAGTTAAACTCCTCTAGGGATGAGGAGAGAGGAGAAATGGAGAATGTGCAAAGCGTTTGATCTACTAGCTATTTATATGTATTGTGCGGGAGATAGGAAAACTATGTCGACATTTTCATGCAACATGTCAACATGCTCATCTTATTATGCCAGCCAGAACTATGAAAAGAAGCCTTGCGGGATAAGTCTTGTCTTTACTTGCTTGATTTGTTGCATGAAAAAACGATTATAGAGAATAAAATGTTACAAGACTTTAGGAGTAGGGCCTTTACTTATGGAAAAGAAGAGATGCGAAGTGATATGTGCCATATAAATAACTTATTTCGTTTACGTCAGCTGCACTATCTTAAACACCCGATGATGTTTGTATGATGAGTGTCTCTGAGACATTACTGTATAAGTAAATTCAGATTCAAAAAGAAAGAAAGTATAATATGAGCCAAGGGTTTGTCTATATATCATTCTATACATTGCTTGATCCACACAAGGCCACATAGACCTGCTCTATGTAATTTTTGAAACACTAAAAATGAGGGGAATTGTGTTGAGGTATTGACAAGAGACAAATGAATGTAAGGTTTCTAAACCATACAGTACTGAATAACTCAACTCTCTTCTGAAGTCTTTTGATATATAAAGTCATCTAAAGAGAATTTCCCATAGTCCCATTCCTTGTTTCCAGGCATCTCCTTAGGATAGATGGAGAATAGTCACAACAAGTGCAATTATAACAGATGATGTTAGTCAATTATGTGATGAGGAAATAGAACTTATGTTTTCTTGCAGCCACATTACTTGGTCAAATGAACAAAAAAAAAAAAAAAAGTATTCGACTTGAATTGCAAGAAAAGTGGGCAACGATCCAAGAAGAGATTAGAAAACTGAACCAAACTGAGTCAAAAGAATGGTCTATCTTTCTGTGTTAAGGAGCCAACCCCACATTCATGCTTAGTTAACAAGAGAAACAAGCAACTAGTCTAGTTGTGACAAAATATTTCGTCACTCACACAACAAAAGATTATGTCGGAATCTTCTGCATGTGTCTAGTCTAGTAAACCTTTACCAAATATCTAGTTAGAACATTCCATCCGTATGCAAAATCGACATAGACAGACCAATCGAGAACTAAGAGCTTGTAACAATGAATCACCACATATTTCTTCAAGAATAATTCACTGGAAAAGACAGTCCCCTTCGTGAACATATTAAATACAGTCGAAAGTCTTACACATAGCACAACATTTCAGTGGAAAAGTCAAGAACACAAGTATATTTGGAATTTAATAGAACCAAAAAGTTTTACATGGTCAAAAAAGAAAAAAGTATATGCAAACAAGGATCTCTCTTTAGATTTATTAGTGGAGATAATAAAGAATTAGGATTATAATAATAATCAAAACTTTGTTAATGACGGAATCTGCTCATCCCGGCGAAAACGCCGATCAAATCTTGCCTGTAAGGTAAGTAAGACTTTCTTCTCTGGACCATTTCAGGCTTATATGACACCGTTTTCGTTTTCTTACTCCCTTTCACTACCGGCGAGCCCTTTCCGCTAGACGAACTCGAAGACCCCTCGCCGCCGCCTCCGCCGTCGCTGTGGCTTCTTCTCAGAAGATCCTTGAAACTGCACCGTTTGGATGATGCGCTCGATGTCGAAACAGCTCCGTCGCTGTGGCTTCTCCTCAGAAACTCCCTAATACGACAACGTCTCGGCTCGCTCGAAGATTTACTCTTCATCTTCAAGCCATCTCCTATCGCCGGAGACCTTGTCGGACTCCAGAAACATCTGCTCGGAGAAACTTTCTCCAAATCGTCAGACTCCGACGATGAATGCGACTCAGTCGGCGAAGATATAGGCGGATCAATACTCCATCCACCGTAGAAAATATCCTTAGACGTGATCACTCGATCGGCTCCCACGTCATCATCATCCGATGAGAACTTGAAAGCCGTCGTCGGAAAACGGAAGAAGCTCTCGTCACGTAACGGTGATGTCTCGAACTCGAATTCTTTATCGTTTACGCTGTCAACTTTAACGGAATAATAACTCTCTGACTCACGGACAACTCTAACGGCGGCTTCGACTAGGTCACTGGAGGCGTAGATACTGAAGCTGGGGCTAAACGACACCGTAGAAGATAAATCTTGCATTGTGGTCATGATCATGTGCTCTTCGCTTCTTCTATCTGTGATAAGTTGTGCGTTCTTGACTCTGTTCATAAACTGCTCTTGACTCTGCTCTCTGTGTGTGTGTGTGTGTATGTATATGTATATATATGTGAATCCAATGTGCCTGCGTAAGTGTTGACGTATATAAAAGATGTGAATGTAGTTGGTTTACTTGTGCATCAAGAAGAGGCGGCTTCCACAAGCAAACGTGATCTTTTTTCTTGTCTTTGTTTAAGGATTAATTATTGTTTTTTTCCTGTTTTTATAATTATAATCATCCTATTTTTCGGAATGCCCGCGTCAAGGCTGACGACTTTAGGGGCACATAAACAAATAAAACATAGAAAGATTTACGGGACAAATGGCTTAACAAATTAAATAAAAAATTTCTTCTACATTTGTATATATATAGCGATGCTTGAATCCCAAAGAAAAAATGAATCCCAAAAGAAAGAAAAAAAAATCTTTAAGAGATCTACTCTATTGTTTTTTTGTTTTTTTTTTATAAAGTTCGGTTCTGTAGAACGTAATTCCAAATCACAACTACTTTGCAAATTGTATACCAAATGATACATTAATTTTTTTGTACAAAACTTTTAGATGGTTTTATAATTTTGTTTGTTTCAAAACCGTATTTTGTAAAAGGAGAAGTATAATTTTTCTATGGACCCTCCACACTAGTATTATCTATCATCATGTTTATGCATTCTTGTTCAAGTCAAGTTGGGCATAAGAAACCAAACCGTTGATTAGTCCACTTGTTAATCTCCATCTCCTCGAACAAGAACATTATATTGGCATGTTCTCGATGACAAGCATTTATCTTTGTATTCATGTATAGAGAAAATTTTAGAGTATATATAATCTTGTTCGTCAAAATAACCAATTTCAGCAGATAGTATATATATGCATGCATGAAAGCTGTTTTTAAATATATGCATATATGGTAGATTGAGAATCGTATGGTCTAGTCTTGTAAGTTGTAGATTATATAACATTGAACATAGAATTAAGGGTTTGAACGTGGATATATAATTATTTTCACTTATATATATATAGAAAACATTAAAGATGCAATTTATAAGGATCTGTCCGAATTCTAATTATCAATCATCATAACGTGTTTTAAACACTCGTAACAAAGTCATCGGTAGTGCATGATCCGATTTAACAATAGATCTAACCAAGACGCTAATATATATAGTTTAATCATACAATATATCATTATTTATTTAGACTTTAGACCTAGAAATATCACCCCATATTCCTGGTCGCATTTAAATATGCTTAAAGCATATATGAAAGAGTTAATCCATTTGATGACAAAAAAAAAGAGAGTTAATACATTATAAAAGTTAATTATAAATATTTGAACAATATTCCAGATATTGTTGTCCATGTTGTTTCCCAAGCACATGCGAAGAAAGACATAAGAAGTTGTAGTAATCAACTTTTTTTTTTCTTTTTTTTTTTCAACTGTAAATAAAGTTTATTTTTGTCAACATCATCAACTGTGAGTTGTAACAAAATTTATGCAAAAACTGTTTGACTAAATTTATATAATTAGTTTTTTTTTTCTCGCTAATTGGGAATTGTTACGAATATAATTACTTTTTTACGAAAGACTTTGTTATTCTATTTGGTTATATTATAAGTGAAAATAATTATCGTGAAAGCAATTTCCACCCAATCAAGACAAGGGGTTGACCCCAGCAACACCTCCTCCTTGTGAAGCAATCATGAATCATCTCTTCGCCAGCCCGATATGTTTCGACTTTTTTTTTTTTTTCTTTCTTATATTTCCTGTTCTCTTAATTTAGAATATCGGTACGATATTTTAGTGATTGAGCGATTACCATAACCAGAACCGGTAGTTCGGTTCAGTACCCGGTAAACTAGCAAGGTCATGGTAATTCAATTCCACCAATTCAATCTAAAAAGGCAAAGTTTTGTTAAACTTCAAATTGTTAGGTACTACTACTTATTCGATCTCATTTAGAAATGACATTAGTTGTGAAAGCTACATAAAATTTCTACTGATTGGCTTTTTTTAGTTGTTGTTATTACCTAAACTTTATTATTCATAAAAATTTATGGTAAATGTTTATATTGCGTTAGACAACTTTTATGTTTAATGAAGTGAAGCACGACAAACGATTATAAAATATACTATTACATATTTTCAGCATTGTTATTAATAATTTACATAATTCACATTCTTAGAAAATCGAGTTTATGTAAAAACATAAACAAATAAATTCAAACAAAAACATGACTTCACAATTTCTCGTGTTCGTGTTTTTTTTTTTAGTTTAAATTTTGGCTAATTTACAGAAATGTGAAATAGGTCGAACCGTTCAATTTACTGAATAGGTAAATCTGAACCAAAATCGGTACATAAATTGAACCAGTAAGCTCGGTTATTGATATTGACACGGTTAAACCGTTTCTCTTAGCTCCTATCGAGATTCTTTCCGCTAAGCGAAAACCAGACGACAGAAAATCTAAGACAGGAGGAGGAGGAGGAGGAGAGAGCTCGATAACGGAGATTCGAACGCGAGATTCTTAATTTATATTTCGTGCTTCCAATTCAAATCATTTTGTCTCTTTAGCGGATCGATCGAAGATTATCTAGCTCCGCCATCTCCTCCGCCGCAATCGACGGCGCTGTCTACGTCGCTTTCGTTTTGTGCGTAATACGAGGAACATCAGCAGGAGAAGTCAGCTTAAGTAACGCCTCCTTTCATTTGACTTGAGGTCAGCGCTGTTTCTTTCTTCTCCCAGATTTGTTTTTTCTTTTCTTTTTTTTCTTCCTTTCTAATTCGAATTCGTTTCGGTAATGGTAGGATTTTTCAGGTTTCCTCTCTCTTCCTAGCTTATTTTTCCATTTTTTTTTGGTTTTGGGTTCATTTTCTCAAATCTGATTGATAGATATGGTGATGATCATTTGTGTGGTGTATAAAAACCTTTTGGAGGAAATCTCAATGTGCTTCTATATTTGTAGATGTCTGGTAACTTTTTGCGTAGATCGAATTCTTAAGCTATTTAGTATCGAGAACGAATGCAGAAACCTTGAATTATAAAATTGGTACCAATTGCACATTTACAGGATTTAGGTGATTTTGATACTTGTGTCTAGGTTGTGTCCCAAAAGACGATGTTTCTGAGTTAATACGTTTCCTGATTTTGGGTTCCTCTTTATTTGTCAATTTGAATGATATGAATACTTGTTCTTCATTTTGACTGGAATTTACTCTGTTGCGCAGATAAGTTTTTCTTTTTCTTTTTGATGTTTATGGCATTGATGACGTTTCCGCATTCGCATGGGTTTGGAGAAAAGTAAAATGCTGGTGAATTGGAAGAAACCTCACACAGATTGATGCTCTCGTTTGTCGACCTCTCTTGTAAATTTCTTGAAACATACGGGGTCGAAGGTGTGTAGCATATGCAATAAGAAGATAAGAAATAGAAATTATGGAGTCGGGTTCAGAGAAAAAATTTCCTCTCAATGCAAAAGACTACAAGTTATATGAAGAAATTGGAGATGGTGTCAGTGCGACTGTGCACAGAGCTTTGTGCATACCTCTAAATATTGTAGTTGCTATCAAGGTTCTTGATCTGGAAAAGTGCAACAACGATCTGGTAGGACTCTTTTTTATCCTTATTCTGAATTATGGAAGAACATCTTTGCTTATTCCCAGTTTATAGCTGTCTTTTTGCCAGTGTACTTTTCTGGTGGCTTTTGAGTATAGATTTTAGCTTTCTCTTCTTATATTTTACCTATCTTATAGCACTGGATATAGCCAGTCTAATCGTAGTTCAATTGCCTTAGAACACATACTTAATCTGTCAACTTGTAGTTGCATGTTTTGATCCTGTCTTTTTTATTTTATTTTTTTATTTTAAAGTTTCACGAACTTTAGCTAGATGTGAAGAAATAGATGAAGTTATGAACCCCATGAAATTTGTGTCTCTGTTAATCAGAATGAATAGGAAATTAAATGTTTGTAGGATGGGATCCGGAGAGAGGTGCAAACAATGAGTCTGATCAACCATCCAAATGTGTTGCAAGCTCATTGCTCATTTACCGCCGGACACCAGCTTTGGGTTGTGATGCCTTACATGGCTGGAGGATCCTGTCTCCATATAATAAAGTCTTCTTATCAAGATGGATTTGAGGAACCTGTTATCGCTACTTTACTTCGTGAGACTCTGAAAGCTCTTGTATATCTTCATGCTCATGGGCATATCCATAGGGATGTGAAGGTATATGCTTGCATTATCTCCCTTTAGTATAATACTTTCCTCAATTCTATGATGACGGCTGTTTTGGTTGATTGCTCTAACTGGTGGGAATGTGTTATCATTTTTATAATACATATGGCTTCCTTTTCAGGCTGGAAACATTTTATTGGACTCCAATGGTGCCGTTAAGTTAGCAGATTTTGGAGTATCAGCTTGCATGTTTGATACAGGAGATAGACAACGTTCCAGAAATACATTTGTTGGGACTCCATGCTGGTACATTTTAGTAACGCGATGTTCTGTGGACATATGCAGATAAATCGTAGACAGAAATTCTGATTAATGCTTGTTTCTGCACAGGATGGCTCCCGAAGTCATGCAGCAGCTACATGGATATGATTTCAAGTAAGCGAATATAAATTCTAAATTCTGCATTTACACTAAAAAAATTACTCCCCCACCATGTTACGCAGGTGTTTTGTCTGATATATTTCCCTGTCACAGAGCAGATGTATGGTCATTTGGAATTACGGCTCTTGAACTGGCACATGGCCATGCCCCATTTTCCAAATATCCGCCAATGAAGGTAATGTTATGATGATGTATTGATGTTATTTGATTTGTATTAATCTTCACTGAAATCTGCTACTTATTTGTGTATTTTCATTATCTGGTAATCACCAATAGGTTTTGCTGATGACCTTACAAAATGCACCTCCTGGACTTGACTACGAGAGAGACAAAAGATTCTCAAAAGTGCGTGAGTGGTCGCAATTTGTTTGTATTATTTTTGCTTGTCGTGTTTTCTTACCTTTATGGTTGTTTTTTTGCCTTAACAGGCCTTCAAGGAAATGGTGGGTACATGCCTGGTGAAGGACCCAAAGAAGCGTCCAACTTCAGAAAAACTATTAAAACACCCTTTTTTCAAACATGCACGTCCAGCTGATTACCTGGTTAAAACTATTTTAAATGGTCTTCCTCCATTAGGTGATCGCTATAGACAAATAAAGGTCTCTGCCCAATCCTCCAAACTCATTCTGTTTCTTGCTGAGAAGAAAATTGCTGGAAAAGCTTGATTTGATATGTGAAATTTTTTCTTTCAGTCAAAGGAAGCTGATCTACTAATGCAAAACAAATCTGAATATGAAGCGCACTTATCACAGGTAAGGATTAGGACTCACACCCCTCTTCTTGAAAGTATCCTGCAATTAGTCTTTAAGCTGCTAATGATTTAGCCTGAGAAATGCAATGAAGTTTGATTGTGTGTTTGAATTATTTTTACATTAACGACCTATTTATCTGTAGCAAGAATATATAAGGGGAATAAGCGCTTGGAATTTTAATCTCGAGGACCTAAAAACTCAAGCTGCCCTTGTAAGTTAATAGTTTTTCTAATTTAGTTAATTCTACGGGATAGGGGACTAATTTTGTTAGCCTTGTAGATTTCGGATGATGATAGTTCACATGCTGAAGAGCCCGACTTCCACCGTAAGCAATGTGAAAGACAGGATGAATCTGCTCTTTCCCCCGAAAGGGCTAGCAGCTCAGCAACAGCTCCTAGTCAGGATGTATGATTTAAATCGATTCTCTATACTCTTATAGTCTTATTTGCCTGCTTTTGGGAATGCATATAAAGTTGTGATCTTTTGTCGACTTAACATGTCTTGCTTTGTTTCCTTTTTCATTTCAGGATGAACTGAATGATATTCCTGATTTAGATAGGTCTTTCGCCTCATTTCCAATCAAGCCTCTTCAAGCACTCAAGTACATCACCTTATGTATAGTATTGCATAGCTACAACATTTCTGAATTTCAAAAGTTTGATTGAACTTTATTTCTGTACCTCTGCTATGATGCAGAGGCTGCTTTGATATCAACGAGGACGACGATAACACAACAACTCCTGATTGGAATGATGCAAATCTAATAAATACTGGACAACAGCTTTTAACAAAGGCTTCCATTGGATCTCTGGCCCATACCACAAATGAAGATGACACTGCAGCGCAAAACACTTCTATACCACGTCATGTCATTCCCGAACAGAAAAAATATTTGAGCGGTTCAATTATACCAGAGAGTACCTTTTCACCAAAACGAATCACATCTGATGCTGACAGGTTAGGATTCTTAGTACTTATTGTAGTGTTTCAACCTATGTAAACATGCTTCATTGACTTTGAAGCTTTTGCTCTATGCACTTGAATGATGAGTTAATTTTAGAAGCCACTTTGACTTAATTCTGCAGGGAGATTCAACAGCGTAGATATCAAACAGAGCGGAGCTACAGTGGATCATTGTATCGCACAAAGAGAGATTCCGGTAACCTCCCATCTGCTTATTATTCTACATGTAATTTGTGTGGATTCTTTAATTCAAATATGTTTTTTATGTAGCGGACGAGACGACAGAAGTCCCGCATGTGGAGCACAAGGGGCGGTTTAAGGTCACATCAGCAGATCTGAGTCCGAAGGTATAACAAGTACCATAGTCTATATCCTTCATGTGATTATTAATCTTCATTGAAACAATATGGTCTTTCCAGAGAAATGTGTGAAATACTTTTTATTATGTTTTTGGTATACTCAGGGATCTACAAACTCTACACTCACACCATTTGGTGGTGGTTCAAGCAGCCCAAGCTCCCTCAATGCTACGTCGGCCTCAATCCTCCCATCAATTCAGTCGATTTTGCAGCAAAACGCCATGCAAAGGGTAAATTTTAAAACCATAAGGAAAATAACTTTTACAATCGTTAGTTAAATACTCCTCCTTCTCTTGGCAGGAAGAGATTTTGAGACTAATCAAATACGTGGAGCAAACCTCTGGTATTTTAATAACAATCCTATTCATCAGATTGTTTTTCCCTAGGATTTTGTTTTCTTTTTTTTTTGTTGAAGAACTCAACATAAATCGCTGAGTTTGTGTTTGTACCATTTCATAGCCAAGCAACCTGGATCACCTGAGACGAGCATGGATGAGCTATTGCAGGTAAAAGAAGAAGATGAATAAAAGGAAATTGTTTTCAAATTTGTCAAAAATATATTCATATATAATTGTTCAAATGTATTCACTAAACCGAATTTGATATCATCTTTATGTAGACACCTCCTGCAACGTCACGAGAGAGAGAGCTTCAGTCCCAAGTCATGCTACTACAACAAAGGTACGTACTTGAATCCATCTCTTTCTTTCGCCAAGATCCTGATTAATAATCATAAAATTTTTAAATATGAATTGTCTCAAGGTGATTATATGTAGCTAATCGACGTGACCAAGCTAAACCGCCTCTTGTTCTTAGTTAACATCAACCTTAAATTACTTGTTTTCATTTCATCTTTGATCTTACAGCTTTTCGAGCCTAACAGAAGAACTAAAGAAACAGAAGCAGAGAAATGGACAGGTTTGTCTTATGAAATCATATTAAACTTCATTCACTATCAATTGCGTTTGAGATAGGATCTTATAAACATATAGACAGTACGGAATAAAACTCTTGTAATTTACTAATTGCCCAGATTTTGAGATACAAACTTCACATTTTCATCATTACTAAATGATAATCTTTTGCTTATACTCTGTAGTTGGAGAATCAGTTGAACGCATTAACACAGAGAAATGATTGAGTCTCATAAGTCATCTGAGACAACACAAGTCACAAACTCAGGAATGGAACTCAGGGATCTTGAGCAAAAAAAAAAAACACAAAATTCCCTTTCAAGGCAAAGAAGAAAGAGAGAGATTTGTGTGTTTTATATTTATTGGGTGTAATTTATTTGACAAGTTTATATTATGTAATGACAATGTTATTTCTTCTTTCTGGGGAGGTTTTCCCAGTTCTCTTAGCAACCTATGTGTGATCTATTGTGCTATGAAAACGATATACTATTATTTTCTTTGTTAACTTATGTTTTATGTGCGAAGAAAATGTGATTGTGGTTGTTTATAATGTCTTATAAGAAAGAATTAACATGTCCTTGTCCAAATCCCCTTGATAATTATATCAAGCAAGAACTTAAATAACATGGAACATCGAATCCTTTAAATTGTTGCAAAACTGTATCACCAAATGCGATTCTCAATCACAGTCGCAACTATGTCCTTCAACGTCTCCTACAAAACAAACACAGAATCTCTCTAAGTACCATTGGTTTTTTCTTTTTCTTATTGGTAATACTTTACCAGGACCATAAAAAAAAATGTTTCTAAGAAAGTGTTATGTACCGAAGAATGATCTTTGAGACCCAGTGAGAGAACCAGAGGCTTGGAGGGAACACTAGAACTGAAGAATTCAAAAGAGATTGCATCACTATAACAGTTTCATGATCACTTTTCTAGTGTTCCATCTTAACCAGAAAACAGGAAAAAGAAAATGGAATGAGAAAGATGCAAGCAAAGGTGAAAGAGAGATACCTTATGTGTTCGATGAGTCTTCGAGCAGTTGCTGTCAGCATTGGCTGTAAGAAACATAATGTGCAAAATTACAAAATTTCAGTTAGCTATATGAAAAATTATGAAAGTAATAGGTAGCATAAGATTAAAAACCTCATCTCGCTTTCCGAATATCACTGAAACACTAAATGTAGGTTCAACAGACATCCCTTCTTCCTTCCTGTCAACAATGAAACACATATATATATAACTCAAGTGATAGACAGACCCAATCAAGAACAAGAATATATCTTAGATGGCATCATGAACAATAACTAATTATATCACAGACCATGCATGTAAAATAGTTCAACAGAGAACACACCAGTTGGACAAGGACAACAACAAAAGTTAGATTTTATTGAGACTGAAGAACAAATCACGATCATTAGTTAAGAAGAAGAAGCATCATTAGGAAGAAGCATCATTAGGCATAACTCAGAATGTCAGTCCTGAAGAAAGAAAGAAAACATAGTAGAAAGATGAATTTTATATAATAAGGGACCTCGCGTGCAATATAGTTCCCATGGCTCCAATCTGTGTTGCTATGACCTGAAACAAAGTTATGTAGAGGTTCAGAGAGACAAAACTAGTATGATATCAAACATCTGAGTTATACCTTCATACAGAGAGACACTCACAAGGATATGATCTTCATAGCTGCAGATCACAATCTCAGTCTTGTTTCCCTTTCAAAGAAACACTATAAATTACTCGAGGTCTCATGTACGATATCAAAATCAAAGCAGGGAAGATACTGTTTTGATCTAGTATTAAGAATCGAGCTAAAATCCCATTGAAAGAAAAAAACTATTCGATAGATTAAATCAAAATTACCTTACTTTCAAAGGAGACCTTTCTATGCCGCACAGGAAAATTAGTGTCCAAGCTTTCCATTCTCAGTATTTACTACTCTCTTCTTCTTCCTAAGTATTTTGTTGCCGGAGGACTTCTTCACCGGACGAGAAGAAGAGAGAAGCGGAAACGCGTTCAAAACGACACGCTCAAGAGATATTAAGCCCTAGTCAAGAAGCCCACTAACAACAGTTGCTAAAAAGCCCATTAATAATCATTTTTTCTCTATGATTTTTGTTTTATTTATTAGTGACGAGAATTTTCTTACGAGTTCGACTCTTCACCATACGTAGTAATAAGTAAAATAAATGTATACAAAGAAGGAAAACTACGTACAGCTTTGTCAGTGATGAATCAAATGAACATGTCTCTCATGTGAATGACTTGAGACTGTGTCTGTGTAGTGTACTAGAGTGTATGTAATGTGTTGTGTGGTATGTAGTAAACCGGACATTTACACAACTCAGTACTAGCCAAGTGGATCGTGAAAGAAGACCACCTACGTACGAACGAGAGGCTTCCACGTAAGCTCTCAATTAACTAGCTTGAAGAAGAAGATCGGTGCGTGCCTACTGGTCATTCAACACGTGCAGTGCTCAGGTTGTTCTATTTTTTTCGCGCTTTTCCTCTCAGCCGAGCCGTTTAGAGTTTAGCCCCATCCCAATCTCAATTACTATGATTCATATAGTTAGTTAAGTGACATTTTCTCATTTTTAAATATAAACTTTCTAACCTTTCCCATGTGTTGTGACTAAAACCATAGTTTTCTTAAATATTAACAATCTTATACTAATTAATGGTACATCAAATCCACATTTCACACAAAAAAAGGATATATTTATTTAGTCATGTTACGCATATATTTGGATAAGTCATATTTGTACATATTGAGAGTTGATAGTTGATGTGAGAAATGTTCGTCAAATAAAAACCATTTTCCAATAATGTTTGACCATCACCGAAAAATTGTAAGTTGACCATGACCTAACTTGCGCAGTACATATTGTAACTTCGTGGTGATAGCATGTATGTTAAGTTGGCCTAAAAGCAGAATTGTAAATTTGACCACTCTTCTCTTCTCTGCATCTTCACTTTTTTTTTTTTGCCCCCACTTGTTAATTTTGTTTTGACCCAAAGTGGACTTACAAAAAAAACTGGCGATTACGTTATTCAATTTATATATTAATACAGGAATATTAAATGTTTAGATTGTGATTAGTATTAGTAAAAGAGATAAAGCATAATAAATCGATATTAAAATGTATAACTCAGTTCCTTATACGAATCAAATTGGGATAAACTTTAGTATTTCTCAACTAGGTCATATATATAGATTACTGTTCTAGATGGTGGGATTAGGTTTACTTAAGATGTCATCAAATAACAATTATTTATAATAATAGCGAAGCTTAACGTGGAATCAGCTTTAATGATTTCACGAGCAGTAGATTTTGCCTTTTTGTTTTTGGCCTTACGAGGCCTTCTATGCAAGAGACGAGTATTACACTTTTTTTAAAAAAAAACACTAAAAGAAATAGTAACCGTATAAAGCGATAAGAGTTGGTGACAATGTGTTGCACTTTTCATTTACTTGCGGTTTAATACAAGAGTTACAATGTTGAAAACATGTGAATTTTGTAAAAAATTAAAGTATATAAGACTATAAGACTACAGTTATTTACACCTTAAGTCTTATATTATATTGTATCTCTATCGATCTATGCTTAGTGAAAACAGTGTATATTCATGAATCTATGAAAGACGATTTGTGGACACCAATTGATATCTGCCAGTATAATTAAATGCAAACTCATCATGTAGTCACGTACGTACGTACGTATCACGTATATTTACATCTACACTACAATTAACTACTAATATATTTGCATATATCATATATGTAGTCATGCAATATATATGCAAAACTGCAAATGTGTGGATGTTCGTTACAAATTAAATTCCATATTCATTATTTGTTGAGTTGTATTTAAATAAATAATAAATATAGTTACGTTTTGTTTAGAGAAAAATAATAATTAAATAAAAATTTTAAGAAATTATGTGCGATAAACTTAAAAATGAAACATTTCAAAATATTTGAGAGTTCAATCGTTTGACGTGTTGACCTTAATTAAAATAATAGGAGTATAATTGACTTAGATTATGAAGATTTAGTTAAGTCTTTGTCTCCAAATTAATCGAGTTAGCCGTCGTATTATTATTAGTAGAGGGGTCAACTAGTTTGACCGTACTAATCAGTTCCAGTTTGGAGCAAAACCACGTAGACTTAAAAACAACCAGTCATGTAATACGGCAGCTCCATTTTTATTTAAATCAACTCTCACTAAATTAATTTAATTTTATCTTATAACTGTGTAAATCTGTAACCTATCTGATGACTTTGTAATGTAAGAGACAAACAATAGAATCTTGTAATGACATGATTAAAAACCAACAGAGAAATCTATTACAATTATATTATTATATATAGTATGGTCTTTGCTATATACTCCCATTAAAAAAAACATGAAATTAAAATACTGAAAAGTGAAAACCATAATTTAGTTTTTGATATTTTTACTCAGCCACAACTCACTTCATAGGTGATGTTAAAACTTTTCTATTTGATCAAATCGGTTACATGTCAGTTAAAAATATATAAAATTGTTTTTGGTAATATGAGAAATAATACAGAGTAAATGGGATGGGGATCATATAATATAGAAGTAGATAAATAAAAGAAAGCCAAGCCGAGCCGATAAAGTTGAAGTAAACTGTTACACTTGTCGTCTTTCTCCGAAATATCAAGAGACTCTTTTAGCATTTCTCGCGTGATTTGTAACGGCCTCTCTGCTCATTCTCTCTATATATATAACTCCTTCCTCCTTTCTCAATCCTCTGTGTATCTCTCTCTATCTACCTTCTTCTCTGAACTTAAAAGAGCCAACGAAACAAGATTCAGAGGACAGTGAACAAAGGAGACAGTAATCAATCCTAACTCGTTCATTTCTTGATTTCTTCTTTTTCCTTATTCCGGCTATGAGGATTGTACGTGCGACAGAGACGTTCTCGGCTGAGCTTAAGGACTTCATGTGCGCCGCTGTGCAAAGGAGGAGAGACGACGACGGGTTCGGAGGCTGTGGTGGCGGTGGCAAATCAAGAAATGCGATGGATCTGGATTCTGACGCCGGGAACAGATTGGTTTGTGTTACCGGTGGTGTCTCTTACCTTGGTCGTGCCATTGTTAAACGGCTCCTTGTTCATGGATACTCCGTACGGATCGTCGTTGATTGTCCTGGTAATTGTTTTTAATGGTTACTCCTTTATTTTGGGGAATTAATGAATCAATATTTATCTGATTCAGTTTCCTTTCTTGCTAATTCAAGATTAACGGAGAAAACTCATATACACATTACGAGTACTACATATATATTTTTAACGAATTAATACTTGGATTCTGGAGTTACTTATCTGAGTTTTGACTATTGTTTATATTATTCTTTTTGGGTGTATATGAAATATATAAGTTAAAATTTCTAGTCCAAAAATTTCTAGTCCAATCAAGTCTTTTTGAGGATCTAATATATATATATATATTTTAATGAAAATGCAGAGGATAAAGAGAAAGTGAGTGAGATGGAAGCTGATGCTGAAACGGCGTCGTTTGGTAACAGGATTACGTCAGTAGTGTCAAGATTAACAGAGATGGAGAGTTTGATCAAAGCGTTCGATGGTTGTGCTGGCGTTTTCCACACCACTGCTTTCATCGATCCGGCCGGAATCTCTGGATATTCGGTATGTTTCCTTTTCGTCCTACCATCTCCAATACTATAGTTGTAAACAAGTTTCTTTAGCAATATTGTCATTACAAAAAGTACAAGTTTTTAAGTTAAGAAGTTTTTGAAGATGAAAAGAAATATATACCTCCAATGGTAAAGTTTTGAAGTTATGAAATTCTTTTCTTCTTCTTTTTTTACTAATACTCAAACCAATGAAATGCCTACACATTGCATTAAAAATCAATATTTAAAATTCTTAACTAAGATATATTTCTTAGCTAAATACAACATTATTGATTTATTGTTTTACCTGTTATGACTAAGAAATTTGGTAGCATCTTGCATTGGACATGTTCTTACTCTCTTTTCTAGACGATGTGTTTATGAGCCATAATGATGGATATACGTATATAATCATGAATACGTACGAAGACATACACTACATCTAATGCACATGGCTATTTTAGTCACGTCCCAATACGTACTAAAATCTGCATAGTGTTGCTATTTATTGAGTAGTATTATTCATTATACAAAAATTAGGGTTTTGAAAAGTAAACACAGTTAAGTTGGCGTATACGTGTCAGAGGGTGTGAAGTGAAAATGAGAATTATGTGAATGGGCTAGCTGCTTCGTCGTTATGTCATATGTGTCAAATTATAGAGAATATTTGTTTAAAAAAATTCTTTGAGGGATGATGATTTGTCCCCTGGTTTCGTTTCTAGAACACATTTTTTATTGGCTCTGTTTTTCGTTAATCAAAAAGTGGTTACGAGTTGAGGTTGGTACTTATTTTCACACATTCCTTTCATATATACTTTTTCTGAATGTTTGTTGGACACGTACATTTTTTTCAACCATATATTTCAATGCTCTTTTATGTTTTCAAAAACCTAGATTTTGTATCTTTTACTGTCTCCTTGCTTTGTGTTCTGTTTTCTCTTTTCGTTGAAAGGTAAATCATCCTCAACTAAGTGTCATTGGAAGATTTGGTAGCACTTCATAACAAAAAAAATGACAAATAGAGTTGATAACTTTGCATTGTCGAAATTTCAACATTTGTCTCTTTTTAAAGAGATTGAAAAGAAAGAAAACAATTTATTTTAGTTGAGTGATTTCTCTTTCTTTTGTTGACAATTTGACAAATTTCATCCTCAACCACCTGATCTCACAAGAAAGTCATATACAGTAGTAGTATTTTAATTAACATTATGAAAAGCTTCTACACTACTAGATTGATTGATATGTTTATTCATGAGAGTAACTGTGAACTACCATAGGAAGCTTGTCTACCGACTGATAAGGACAGCTATCTAGAAAATGGTTTGTCTAAGTGTCTGATTACGATGTGAATTGTATGGCCATACGTACCCCTTTATATGGCCCCAATTCATTGAAACGCCTGCGTACCTACAATTCTGTTTCCTTAGAAACAGGTCACCATGAGATCAATGACATAAACAAACAAACCAATAACTATCATTTTGTTTAAAACCAATGCATAGGGATACATATAGATATTTATATATCATTTTACGATCTGTCACAGTTGCTAGTTCTAAATAAAAAATTATCTTATGGTTTAAGAAGTATATCCATTAACATCTTTAATGTTTATTTTTGCAGAAATCGATGGCGGAATTAGAAGCAAAAGTGAGCGAGAGTGTAATCGAAGCGTGCACGAGAACAGCTTCAGTGAGAAAATGTGTCTTCACATCATCTCTCTTAGCATGTGCTTTGCAGAACAGTTCCTTTAACAATCTTAATCACTCTGTTATCAACGAGGAGAGCTGGAGCGATGAACAACTCTGTGTCGATAATAAGGTAACTAAAATAAAATCATAATGTTTTCATCTCTTCGTATTTAATCTAGCTCTAGCTGGATTCAAAATGATTAACACCCTTTACGTACACTAATTCTACAGCTTTGGTATGCACTTGGAAAACTGAAAGCTGAGAAAGCCGCGTGGAGAATCGCAGATTCAAAAGGATTAAAGCTTGCAACTATATGTCCTGCTCTTGTAACTGGTCCTGACTTCTTCAACCGTAACTCCACTTCAACCTTGGCTTATCTCAAAGGTATATCAAAACGAACCATATATATATTTAAGCAACCGTCCAAAAACACTAATGTTATTATATAAAGTTGCAAACACATAGTATTATTATTAGCATATGTGTACATAGTTCACGGGTCACGGGTGGTGGTCCATTCGATATATAAAGAGCCAACAAAGACAGCTAATTAGTTGTTGACTTTTATATATATTTACAATTTTGTTTGCAAAAAAAAATGGCAGGAGCAAAAGAGATGTACAGCCACGGATTATTAGCGACAATGGATGTGAATAGGCTGGCTAAAGCTCACGTATGTCTGTGGGAAGGTTTGGGTAACAAAACCGCGTTTGGTAGATACATTTGCTTCGACAACATTCTCTCTAGAGATGGTGCTGAGAAACTTGCTAAAGATATTGGTGTCCAAATCGAAAAGATTTGCGATAGCAGCAGCGATTCAGACGCAGAGGAAGAAGCCTCTCCTTCTGATTTACAAATATCAGATAAAAAGCTACTAGATCTTATGTCAAGAACTCTACGAAGTTGCTATCACGAGAGTTAGGTAGATACGACAAAATAAAACTAAATAAAAATCTAAACGGAGTAGTTCTAAGCTATGGTTGTGATGTATGCTCTTATTCTTTACTTCTTTTTTTAATATTATCTTTTACAAGTTTCATTTATTTATTTTTTCTTATAGTAATGATAATCATTATTGACAAAATAAAAAAAATGATCATCATTATTGTTATTGTACGAATGTAGTTTATGGTGTGGATGGAGGGTTGTTGTAAAGAGCGGTGTAGAGTTGGTGTTCGTTGAAATGTTTATAAATTAATAAATAAATAAAAAATCTCAAAGTGTCTCTCTCTTTTCTTTCCCTATTTTGGATAAAGTCACTTACAAGCAAATAAAGACAAATTCAACAATACGTAAATTTGGTTCCGGCCGGTGCATGATGACAATCTTTTTTATGATTCTGCATTTTTTATATTGTTGATTTTTATTCTGTTGTTGATGAATCAATTATGAATAAGGGACTTATTTTGATGGCATTTTTAGGTTGGAATTATTGTCTAAAGTACTATTTTTTCCCAACCATTTTTTAAAACTGCCATTTTCTCAATTTTCTTACAAATTTGCCATTTTTCAAAATTTAAAACACTAAACATTTGAGAAATGTTTTTTGTAAAACACATGTTTTTGTATATAAGAAAATAACAAGCCAAATATCATGTGTAAATTTGTGTTTTTGTATACAAGAAAATAACAATTTTAAATTATTTTTGAAAGAATGGCAAAACCTATCAAAATAAGTCCCTTATTCATAATTATATTGATTCTTTATAGGTTTTGCTATTTTTTTATTCTGTTATTGATTCAACGAAACTTAATTTTTTTTTCCTTTTTCTGATAAACTCAACATTAAAATAAGTTTATCCAACACGCAACCGGTTCATCCAACAAGCAATCGGTTCGAGCCAGTGATCAGTACAGTATATCTAACACGTGTAACTGGTTCGAGTTACAACTACAAAAGAAGAAGAAAAAAAAAACAGCAGAACGAATGATTAACATGACGAAGACTACTGATGCTGTGTGCAGCCAGGCGGCGAACCGAGTTTTTAGTACACTCTTCTTTTGTTCTTCTCCCATATCTTAACTCTATAATATATATATGTAAAAAAAGAGAAAAAAGAGAGAGCATCTCTCAGTTGCGGACGTGGTGATCTGAGAGTCGAATGCACGTGCAAAGTGTTTTTGTTTGAAGACAAAGTCACGCCAAAGGCAGCACCAGAGAGGTATAGGCGTGAACGACGCTGCTCTTTTAAAGTTCTTACGCACGGAAAATCACACGAAGAAAAATACTACTAGCTAGTATAAAACATAAATTAACGCTTTTAATATATGCTGACTTAATAAACAGATAAAGTTGTGATCCTATACAATAGTATACGAACACATACCAACTCTGCAATAACTCAGCTCCTAAATGCATCACTGAAATGTAGAAACTTTAATGTACTGTACTATAAACTTCGTAGTATATCATTTTCATGGCACTGTTACCGTTGTACTTTATATATCCATCATTTAACGCAACCTAATTATTAAGTGCATACTTTAGGATACTTTTGGGCACAAATTTAGTAATGAAATGTTCAGATTTGCTTATAACTCACTCAACTAAATTAAATGATCCATGATTATATACTAGTACTAATTTGGGTATATATTTCTTTATTTATTTATTTAGTGTTAAAAGAGAAAGATACAACTAGAAAAATTAATTATTGTGAAATTGCATGGAAAGCAACATAAATTGGGACGAGTTCCCATGATTTGATTCTCTCTGTCTTCGGGACTCATCAAACACCAAGCTCCGATATTTCCTATAAATTCGTACAAACATTTGTTGTTAATGGAATGGTTTCAAATTACAACTATGTCAAAGTGCATGGTTTCATACTTACTCACAACTCGATCGAACCGGTTTACATATTACAGTTAGTATGTGAAAGTGAAGTTAGCTAAACTGTGAGTATATGTAGTGTTTAACTTTAATAGTATGAAGAAAAATACTTGTATTTAAAAAGCGGTTTAACACAATATTTATGTTTGTTGTTTTACCTTGAATTTATTTACATTCTCCTAAACTATGGTAGATTGGTAGTGACACATAATACTACTATTCCGATGGAAAGTCTGTTTTCCTTTTTCTTATTGAGTTAAACGTTAAAAAAAAAATCAAACATTCATAATTTTGAATAGATGCATGAAAGTGTCGACCCCGGCCTAACTATATCGTCTATAGCACTAGAGTTTAAAAATGTATTGGTATAGTTCAATTTTCAACCCTCATGTTCTCGAGGGTTTCGAGGCCATTATATGCTAACTGAATTACTACTTACAAGATATGACATTAATTATATGCTAAAATTTTGATTCCTAGAGTATATTCGAATCGGATCATAATATAATTGTTTGTTTGTAAAGCAACTAGCTAGAGAATCGGTTTTAAGAAGTTACACGCAATGCATGTCTGATTCCCACACTTTTTCTCGCAGTACTAGTTTCAGTTCACAGTCATAACATCGTCGAAAAGTACATACATTATATATTTTTTAGGAGTAGCCAAAGTCATGGTAATGTAACAGATCAAGAAGAAAATAATTGGATTACGATAATTTACCAACTGTTCATAAAGCTAAGGGTTTCCTCGAGAACGCCTGTATAGAGATCGTCACACCAATACCTAAAAACACTGTAATTTCGTTCCTTTAGGCTTAAAAATTATTACGTACATACCTAAAAATAGAACTCTTATTTCTATATATATATATATATATATATATATTGTACACGTACATAACATCGAATTACAATATTAGTATATCTTAATGCGCAAACACGAATATTCTTATGATCGGTATGATATATACTTTTGATTGAAATACTATATCCAGTCATAGTTCCATCATCGTATCATTGAAAAATATTTAGCCACCCTCACACATTAATATATAGATTATCATATGGTATTACATATAACTGAATATATATACGATCAATAATACAAATTAGTTGCTTCGGAAATCATTATTTTGTTTCAGAATTAAGTGCCCATTGTATTTGTCGTTGACTCGTTGTAATCTACTACTAATAATTTGCACCTACGTAGACAATTAAATTTATTTGATTACAATTATCGTGAATCACTGAATCTCTGAACATATCTCACATTTCTCGGCTTTTAATTTGATTCTGTATTTCCCTCGTGGTATAACCCACTAATAAATAATCAAAGCTAATATGTATAACGAATAATCTGGTCGTAAAGTTTGGTTAGCCTAAGTTTCTACAATTGTAAGACGGATATTAACAGTGAAGGTATATGCAAACAATTCCTCTATATATATGAGTATATGAGCATATTTCGTAAAAATATTTTTTTTCTGTTTAACTCATTCAAATAGAGCTTTTTACTCAGCTACTAAAAAATGTAATTATAATTAACGTAGTTAATTAAGTTCCGTACCCCTGAATATGTGTATCTCTCTGATAGAGTTATATATATATATATATATATATATATATATATATACGCATAGAAGAAGAGAGAGAGAGAAAGCAATAGAAGTATAAATAAAGCATTTGCTAGACGGAATCATCTTTCTTAATCCTCTCCTTAATTATTCTTCTCCTTCTTCTCCTTCTCGGTCCTTTTCCATATCCAACATACCAAACCAAAATTCACATATCATATCTTAAGATTACTACAATACACAACACAGCAAAGGAAACTGTATTTCGTTTGATCCTTTGTTACATTTCTCTCTCTCTCTCTCTCTCTCTATATATATATATATGCATACATATATAGTTATACATATTACCGGAAAGAAATAAAAGCAAAATAAGGAATTCTCCAAGGTAATCCATTAACCATCTTTACATATCTCATGCATATGACATTATCTTCGATTGGGGTCTCATTTCTATAACTCCTAATATATTTCGATTATGGTCTTAGCAATAGAGCTCATCGTTGTTTTACATCTCCGATCCGAAGAGTTTATTTTATTATAGCCTTATTTTTAGGTTGCATGTGTGTCATTTGGGACTAACACATTGGAGAATACAAACATATATTAATCTATTTCTTGATTAAATTTTAGTTATATCTTTTCTTATGAAAATTTCCATGGATAATGAAGTTGAGCTTCTAATAATGATATCGATCGAAATATACACATATAAAGGGTACATGTGCGAGTATGTATCAGTATTGTTTATATATACATCCAAATTACTATTTAAAAAAAAAACAATTTTACCCACCATTTTGCACTTTTTTAACCTTATACAAGTGAAAAGGGACAATAGTACTATAGGTCCCATTCCGATAAAAATGGAAGAAAAAAATCAAATTTTTTTTGGTTCGAATCTCTAAACACACACAAAAAAGGAGCTAATTAAACACGAAGGTTTATAAAACACATGGTACATAACTAGAATTTATTTGATAATATTCGATCACGATTTTCACTTTCGTAAAGATGAAGCAGAAAGATATAATAACTCTATACAACCTTTGCAGGAGTCAAAAGCAACATCTAAATACAAAGTAGCATATTCATAAATCATGATCATCAATATATAGCAAATTAATAAGTAGTCGTTCAAACTAATAGTATATTAGTAGCGTTTACCGAAAATTATTGCGGGGAGATTCCTATTAGACTTTCTAGGACTATTATTATATATATTGATAGATAGATAGATAGGGGTATATATATATCGATTATACAATTGTTTCATAAGTTAAGTAGGTGGACTAAAGTGTAAATGCATAATACAATCTGTTGTATAAATCGTATTATTTAATTACGGTCCACGTAATTGAGCCATAAGAAGACCCGGCAATCCACGTGAAAGAGAATCCTTCCCACTAACCCATCCACGTTATCACATTAATCTTTATATAGTTTCTTATCAATTTATCATTTTATAATATTAATCACCATAAATTTTCTGTTGGTACAACTATCTCCTTTACTTCAAATTTCGCTTTATCTTAAAGTTCAAAGTACAATTTTTTTTTTATATACTAGTAATAAATATTTCGTTTATAAATGACCATTTTTTAATCATTCAACATGAAAAGAAAATGCTAATTCCAATACAACTTTTTGAACCTTGCTTAAAACTAAGATTAATCAAATAAATTAGTCTACGAGGCTACACCAAAAATAGAACCATTAAATTCATTACATATCCCTAGATAAACTCTTTTTTAAATCTTTCAAAAACTTTTAATATTTCCGATGGTAATACTAATAATTAATCGCACAAAAAAATTAACACTAATGTAGATCCGTTCCCACGCGCTACTAAAATTTCGACACCATAGTCATTGGACCAAAGTCACCAAACGGTCTAAACCATAGTCATTTGACTTTTGTATACGTAAAAGAGTTCTCAAGATTAAAGATGAGCTGGGGTTGCGTCGTGTTTTACACGCGCATCAAGGAGAGAGTAGGGGAGTAATGAATCTTAAATAATAAAAAACCTGAACAGTCTGGGGTCATTAAGTGAAAGTGCATGGAAAATCTCGAGTTGTTGTTTCCTACATCTCTCTGTTTTTTTTTTTCTAAATTATTTTTACTATTTCCTATACGTATCAACTTGTAAGCAAAACCTTTTTTTTCAAACTTTGATCCATAAATTTTAATTACATATATTCATCTTCTCTCTCTCGTATACGACATATATATACATAATACAGTGTAGTGACTAAACTCTTTCTTTCTTTTTTTGGTTTCTCTGTTATTATCATTTCTTAGCTTAGATATTGTTTTCGATGGAGGCAAACCCGCATCGGGTTTCACGTAGAAGCCACGGCGGGACCCACTGTCGAAACGACGCCGTCTACGAAGAGAACCCTCGACGACGGCATTACAACCACCACCACTCCCACGGCGACGAAGAAACCAAATGCTCCGGCAAGAGATGCCGCTCGTGGGCGGCGGCGGCGATTGCTGACTGTGTAGCGCTTTGTTGCTGTCCATGTGCGATCATAAACCTTCTTACTCTTACTTTCGTCAAGGTCCCCTGGATGATCGGAAGACGATGTCTAGGCGGCGGACGGAAGAACAGGAAGAAGCGGATGAATCTGCTTAACAGAAGACAACGTCGCGGAAATATCAATGGTGGTGGAGATCATGAGTTTCATCATAATAATAATAACAAGCATCACCTCCGGTTTGAGACAACGGAGGGGGAGGAGAAATGCGGCTGCGGTGGTGGCGGAGGATGTTATGGCGGCGGAGATTATGATGATCACCGGTTTGTGGTAGAGAGAGACGGGAGTTTGACGAAGGAGAAAAGGGAGGAAGATGGGGATAAAACGGCGTCGTTTAAAGGAGGGGATCATGTTCATGATGATGAGTCGAGAATAAGTGCAAGAGTTGAAGCCGAGAGAGTGTGGTTAGAGTTGTATCAGATTGGTCATCTTGGATTTGGTAGAGTCTCCTTCACTGGAATCCAATGACTAAAATTTGTAGGAAACTTAGTTATATTCCAATAATTATATATATATAATGTGAATTTTTCTTTAGTGTATGTGTCCTATCCTATGATAGTTTTTCGTTAGTGAGAGCATTCGCATAGATACGTTTCGGGCAGTAGTTACAACTTAGAAGTAGTATTTCGCATTTTTAGAGAGGCTCCAAAGTTCCTAACGTTTAAGTTTTGATTCATGATACTAGATGTGAAAAAAACATAATCAATTGGAATAGGTGGTTATTGTTAGATTTGAAAACATGAAATCTCATTGATGATTTCTTAAAAAAATTATGTTACAAAGCTTTCATTTCTTTGTATGTGATTCTATATCAAATTATATTCTCATATACTCATATTGGAAATTTAGTAATCGTAACACTTATTTTCATGAATCACTATTTTAAATTTTAAATGGCTCTAATCGTATTTATTAAATACTTAAATCCCTTTACTAATTTATATTTTTGTTTTAAATCAACAAACTGAGTAATCCAACATATGATGGATATATTTTAATGGGCCCTGTCATAAATAGATTTAATTGTTGGGCTAAATACGAGACCCACTAACAAAGGTCTGCAAGTAACCGACCGTGCGCATTTTAGTTGTCACCCAAAATTATTACGATATCGTGCTCTAATGTGCACCGTCCGTGCACAATACCCTTTCCACCTTGCTTGTGCCTGAGAGAGTTGTTTTCAGTTCGCTCATTCCCTCTTCCCCGCCTTAAGAAAACGATCGAGAGAGAAGGAGTTTGAGTGCAGAGATGGAGAGCGAGCCTACTCGAGTGATGGTGGCAGTGAACGAGTCTACGCTCAAAGGCTATCCGCACGCGTCAATTAGCAGCAAAAAGGCGTTCGAGTGGACACTGAAGAAGATCGTTCGGTCCAATACCTCTGGCTTCAAGCTTCTCTTGCTCCACGTTCAAGTTCAGGACGAAGATGGTTTTCTTCTTTCCCTCTTTCTCTCTTTCGATCGTCTATTTCGAACCTCTTGATACTTGAATTTGAGTCTCTATCTCTTTAAGGTCTTGAGTATTTCACAATAGGCTAAATTTGGTGTTTCTGTATGTTCTTAAGGCTTGATGCTAGGTATTTAGCTGTGCTTTAGCTGTTTTAAAAGGGACTTATAAGTGGTTTTGTGAATCTAATAAAACTTAGTGAGTAGTTGATTTTGTTTTGGATTTGCTAAGAAATATTACAGAAGAGGTGATCTTAATCGTTTGGACCATGAATGGGGGGATCAGGTTTTGATGACATGGACAGCATATATGCATCTCCTGATGATTTCCGACAAATGAGAGAGCGTAACAAGGCTAAAGGACTTCACCTTCTTGAGTTTTTCGTTAAAAAATGTCATGAGATTGGGGTAAATGACTCTTTTTAACTCTTTCATAGTTTCATTATCTGTCTTAATGCCCCTCACTTGTATCATCATCTCATAAAACCTTTTGTAATAACATGTAAGTTGTTGAACTTGTAGGTTGGATGCGAAGCCTGGATCAGGAAAGGTGATCCCACAGAAGTTATATGCCATGAAGTGAGGCGGCTCAGGCCAGATTTTCTGGTTGTGGGAAGTCGTGGTCTCGGCCCTTTCCAAAAGTATGTACAGTTCTCACACATACCTCGAGTAGACTTATCATTGCTTTATCGTTAGACCCCTATCAGTAATCTTTGGCATGATATCTCACCACCCAGGACCATGGTTTTAGTTTGAAATGCCAATAAAGGGATTTTAAAGTTTCTATTGATGACTTATTGGTTTTGGGAAAAATACAGATCAAGATTGAGTTATCTTATTAGATTACTCGCATCCTGTTTGAAGCATATGACTTATACGTACCTCATGGACATGAAACATCCTATAGCTTTGCAATTGATTTTACTAGGTGTTATCATATGCATCAAACACTGCCTATGCTTTAGACTTTATACTGTTGTATCATGTGCACTTGGTTGAGCTTAAAATCACAGACTATTGTGTAATCAATTCATACTTGTTTCTATTGGACAGGGTATTTGTTGGAACCGTGAGTGAATTTTGTGTGAAGCATGCAGAATGCCCAGTCATCACAATCAAACGTAGTGCTGAAGAATCTCCACAAGATCCAGCTGATGACTAGATTCCAAAAGCAACACAAAAACCATGCGGTGAGTTCATGTCTGCTGAACCCCGAAAGCTTTTGAGAGACGATAAGTGGTGTGTTGCAGTACAGAAGAAGAAAAAAGGTAGCAAAAACTCTTTTGATTGATCTAGTAGTAAGTGCGTCTGTAATAGATAATAGATGGATACACACACACAGAAATCATTTATAATTGTGTGTCCATTCTCTAAAACATGAAAAACAAAAGTTCCTTCATTTGTTCTGTAATCTTTCTGACTCTTCCATGTTTTTCATTTATGGCCTATCCAAAGTCAGATCAGTTACATTATATCTATATATTAGAATTCAGTTTTGAACTTATAATGCCGAACAGAAACAAAAACAAAATCAGGACTGACACACTCAAAATTTTAACGGATATTTAAATATTTGTTATCTCTTGACTACTAGCTGACCACGTCCGAACTAGTTTTGGATCGCACGTCTTCTCGAACTTAACTAAACTGTGGAATTTGTCCTCGTAGCTAGTGTAATAATATGATGTTTCTCCGATAAGGAAAATGGGAACTTTGGAAATGTTCCCACATCTCCTGTCCGACCCTTAAGAGACTTACCATTTGATGTATCGGTTATAGTGTTGAGTTGGGGAGCATGAGTTTTGATAATCCAAATCTTGTCTAGTTGGAATACTCTGATTTTGTTCAGCTTCAGTATCCAGTTGTTAATCTTGACTCCCTTGTTTATGATTTGTTCCAAGTATATGATTTTCTTCTCTCTGTAATGATTACTCTATGAAATGTTTTTTTTTTCTAAATTTTGATCCAAACATTACATTACATTTATATATCAGATTTTTGGGATCTTCCATGAAGTAATGCCTGTGTTTCGAAAACCTCTTTCATTTAACTATTACATCTAAAGTGGACTTCTGTTCATCTGTTTCGTCTCTACCATCTCTGCTGAAGAGAGCTCCAACTTTACACACTTGTCATCAAGATATGATTCAACACCCGAAAAAAATTGCTGGCCAAACGCAATATACAATTCCTAATAAACATTCCTCTTTCTTCAGGGTTTCTTGCGTCATGATAATCCTGTTAGGATGTTCTCGTTTATCTTCATGCCCTGTGAAGGTCCTAAAACTAACAGAGTAAGAAGGAAGTATCAAATAGCTGGACCAAATGAAGCGTTTCTTGGATCAATTGTCATGTCTTGAGCTCGTTAAAGTTTTCGCATCCGCAAAAGATGACAAAGAAAAGTTGCGGCTCACCATGGATTTGCTAATGCTTTGTAGAGCTTCTTCCAAATGCGAGAATCACCATATTGGTTCTTATATTTTCCCAAAACTCTTGGTTGTGTACTTGACCATAGTAATCCCTCATGTGTAGTTTATTGGCTCCGGTTCTATAAGCGGTTTATGAACCCATAACTAATTTACTTTCTCCAGCGATTATAGTAAACATAACTCGATGTAATGCAGAGGAAACCACAAGATTTTTAATGCGTTTACGAGCTGGGTGATTATAGACATAACTCGATGTAATACAGAGGAAGAAACCACATTCTAAAATGGTTAACTATAACTTTTAACACTGTGATTGGTGGGATACGCCAAGCCCTTGCGATAGTGCAACGCATGGGCGATGAACGTGAGCACAAATAGCAAGCTATTTCGACGGCTCACTCCCAAAAAAAATTGAGTTAATATCGAGTGGATCGATGATCCACATATCAGATATTAAACTGATAAGAACAGATACTACACTTGATCTTAGCCAAAAGGCCGAGAAAGGTATGCTTTGTTTTAAAGTTTGCGAGTCCCATTTAAAGCAAGACGTTGGATTTGTTTCACAAATACTCTCCGATGTGGGACTAGTGTAAGTATTAAACTGTAAGCTCACACTTTCACGAAAAAATTAGTCATAAGTAGTTTACTGTGGAGACACCACCGCTAACAAGTTATATAGGTTTATCAATTAATCGAAGAGTATATTAAATTTAATTATAAATTTTAAGTTTATATTTTGATGGAGCTGATCTCAATAAGAGACAACCCTCCAAAAATAGGCGTATGCCGCTCAGGACGACAAGCACACGGTATTCTTTAGTAAAAGGCGAAAGAATAGTTCGCTATGTGCTTATCGCACGGCTCCGTAATTTGCAGACGAAGGCTCTCTCCATGTTATATATTAGCACTGGGCACGAAGCGAATATTCAGAAAAATTTGTAATATTTGTAATTTGCTTCACCTCGACCGAATAGTTGATTTTGCTATTTGCTTCGATTCGTAAATTTTCGAGTATATGGAACTTCGAATATTCGAATATTTTTCGTAATATTTGCGAGTTACTTGCTTCGCTTCGATCCATCTAATTTTTTTTTAAACTAAAAACATATAGTACATAAATATAAAGTGCAAAATATGAGATATTGGAAGTTCTGTTTGACATATTTTCAAAATAAGAAGAAAATGTAACTACCGTCCATAGAATTCTCACATTTTATTTTTAATACTGATTTTTCTAATAAAGTTTTATTTGCTTAAGAACAACATTTAGCAAAAAAATCCAACGGGCCAAAATATAATAATTTAAATTATAAGCCTATAAGATATATACCCAAATATATAAATACACATATTATATATATTATATAATAATTTATATTTATATATATATATATATATAAATACGAAGCGAAGCGGATATTCGACACTAAGAAAATCAATATTTGTTATTTGCTTCGGTTTTTACGAATACTACATTTTCATATTTGCTTTGATTTAATATCCTATAGATATTTGAATTTTTCGAATCAAATCGAAACGAATATCGAAGCGAAGCGAATCTAACGAATATTTTGCCCAGAGCTATTATATATGACTTGAGTTCGCTGTCTTTCTCTGTCTGTTTACGATGTGGGACTTTAAACTAACGTATGCAAAATCATGCGCTTTGTGCTTATTAAGCGTTCTAAAAACTGAGAGAATACGTTGTGACATTCTATACGGAAAAAGGTAACATATGACATAGCTACTGCTTTACGAAGAGCATTTTCATAAGCTTAGTTACAATTACAAATAAAACGGTAAAAGCGAGAACTATCACAAATTCGTTTTTAACAAGTAAAAAAGTTGAGGTTGGTTTAGAAAACTACACGCACACACAACGACGCAAACATCAACGGATACTAATATACTATAAACTGTTGTAAAATCAGACATAATACTTCTTTCTTCTTCATTCTTTCTGCTCCACAATGACTAATGGTCTCTTCCAAGTGCAAAATGTATTCCAGCAGCTTCATCATGCCTACTCAATCAAAATTAAGGTTTGATCAATATTCATGAATCATATCTCACCGGCAAAGATTATAGCACATACAGTACATAAATATATAATCATTGCTAGAGTTTGAAACGGTGGGTTTCAAGTAAGAACATAAACATAGCTGAAACATCCGTGATCTCAAGACATAAAGCAGGGGCTTCTTCAGCCATGGGGTTTGCAACCGTTTGGTGACTCAACTAAGAGAGTTCTATCCCTCAATCTAACAAACTACCCGGTTATGATTGCATACAACCTAAAACCTCTAAGGCTGTTATTTAAGGGCATCAATACTTTGAAAAGAGTGTTCCTTTTTACTCTATATTTAGTTTTACAAAAAGCAGTAATTAGTTATATACCTTGCCAGCAATATTGTTGGAGAGCCAATCAAGGCCTTCATATAGACCTTCTCCAGATGTGGCACAAGTGCTTTGAATATACCTGTTAAAAGGAAAAACATAAGGTAAATTCCACCACACAGTGTGATCAACCTAACCACATTAAGGACAGAGTTCGAGAAAGAAGATAACTTTACCAATGGCGTTGGCGAAGAGAGTGAAGACCAAGCTTGTCAGTTATTTCAGCAGCATTCATTGCATTGGGAAGATCTTGTTTGTTTGCAAACACAAGAAGGACAGCATCCCTCAGCTCATCCTGCAAACAAGGTTTAATCAGACTATAGAAAGGTGTTCGCGTCTTACTGTGATACAAGAGAACACCAGATAGAAAGCTAACCTCATTTAACATGCGATGTAACTCATCCCTCGCCTCCACAACTCGGTCCCTGTCGTTGCTATCAACGACGAATATAAGACCTTGAGTGTTCTGGAAGTAGTGCCTCCACAGAGGACGAATCTATTTTTCAAGGAAGTTATTTTCATAATGTCAAATAACCAGAAAAAAAAAAAAAAAAACACTCATAGATAATGGACGCGTTAATTAAAAAAACCAGGTGTTTCATGATACATACAACCAGGTAACACAAAATATCAGTACTTGAATTATGAGGACACTACACTATGTTCTAGGCAAGAATTCAAAATGTATACCTTGTCCTGACCCCCAACATCCCAAACAGTGAAGCTGATGTTCTTGTATTCAACAGTCTCCACATTGAATCCTGGAAACAAAAACCTCTTCAACATCAAAATTTGAGAATCAAAACATGGATGAACAGGTAAACCGTAGGGGGAGCAGGAGAGAATTAAAAAAATAAAAATCCACAGAGACATAAAAGTAAAGAAACACAAAAAGAGAAAGATCTAAATACAAATTGAGAAACACTGTGATTCGTGAAACTTACCGATGGTAGGGATGGTGGTAACGATTTCGCCAAGCTTCAGCTTGTACAGGATAGTAGTCTTACCAGCAGCATCAAGACCTACCATCAGAATCCTCATTTCTTTCTTGGCAAAAAGCCGGCTGAACAACTTCGTGAAATTAAGCCCCATTTTCCTTTAGCTATTCCTATATTTTCCAAAGCACCACCAAAAAGAAAAAGCTTTATTCAAATCTGTCTGCACCACAAATCAGATTTATAAACACGATCAGATCAACAACACGTTTATATTTCAAACAATCACCAACACAAAATTTCAACCAACTCCGATCAAATCCTTGAATACAGCTCAGTTCAATAAGACAGTGAGCTCAACGTACGAATCGACGAATCAAATGAATCGATCTATTGATATACTCTAAGTAACGATCGATCGAGATTCAAAGGAACATACCAGAGATGTTTTGAGAAAAAGGAAGATACAGGATTTGAAATTGATGAATGGTGTGAGAGTTTGTTTACCTTTCGAAGAAGCTCCAAAGAAGGTATCTGTTGTATGCAGAAGCAAGCCGCGAGTTTCGAAGAGACAATGTCTCTCTCCCTCTCTCTTTCTCTCCCTCTCACAGCAGAAACTCTAATAATAGAATATTTATCAATGCGGTATATTATTTATCTGTATTTTCAAATTCATCCCTGTAATATAGCAATATTTCGGATTTCATTTTAAATTACAGACACGATTCTTCTACCCAATCTTTTTACTACTCTCCACTCAAATTCGCTTTAGTTTTAGCTCAAAGTCTCAAACTACTCTTCCTCTCCTAGGCATGGCGGTCTGTAACTGCTTCCTCCGAGCTCCACCACTCTCTCGCTTACTCCTACCGGCTTTATCTCGTCGAGATTCTACTTTAACCGCCGGTCATGGTCTCCTCAAATCCACCGGAATGTTTTCCTCCGCCGTGAACAGGAGCACACCTTTGACATCACCGGTTCGAGCTGCAGTAAAACGCGTCCCGCGCAAAGAAGATGAAGTAGCTTCGGGTAAATTCTCTATCTATTATTTATACTCTTTGTTTTTATGGATGATGGTATTTTCTACATTTTGGGATTGATTTACGTTTGTTTTTGGGATTTTGAAGCTTCTGATCTTGAATTTGAGACGCCATTGAAGATTGTTGAGTATCCGGATCCTATACTACGGGCTAAAAACAAGAGGATTGGTGTTTTTGACGAGAATTTGAAGAACTTGGTTGATGCTATGTTTGATATTATGTACAAGTAAGTCCCAGTATCGAACTTAGTAGCATCCGACTTAATTTTTCTGCCATTTTTAATGCAAGAGGATTCATATGTCTTGTACAACTTAAAACTATTATATGAATATTTTGTTGTTAATTTATTTTTGGTTTATGAATATATAAATGTGTAATTGTTATCTGAATACTTTATGTGTATATAATGTTTACATTTTTTTTGAATTAGAAGGCAAGTTACTTAGTGCATAATAAACACAGAATGATACTGTGATTACATGCTATTGAACAGAACGGATGGCATTGGGCTCTCAGCACCTCAAGTAGGCCTCAATGTTCAACTCATGGTGTTTAATCCAGCTGGGGAGCCTGGTGAAGGAGAAGAAATTGTTCTTGTTAATCCAAAAATCAATAAATATTCCGATAAATTAGTACCCTTTGATGAAGGGTGCCTATCATTCCCGGGAATTTATGCTGAAGTAGTTGTATGTCCACCCTTTCTCAACTAAATTACCTTTGCACCAAATTTGTTGTTCCAATTCATTGCTTAATCGTATTGCTCATTGTTTTCTTGGAAATCCGTGTTTATTGGTTGTTTTGCTTTCAGCGACCACAATCTGTCAAGATTGATGCAAGGGACATTACTGGTGCAAAATTTTCAATCAGTCTATCACGTTTACCAGCACGAATCTTTCAGCACGAATACGACCATCTGGAGGTTCTTTCTCCACTTTCATTTTGATTTCTATGCTTGATTAAATAGCAATGAAAGTACATTTATGTATATATACAACTGGAAGAACCAGAGGAAAAGCTGATATATTTTGATGTTTTGACACTGTAAAGTGACCTCATTAACACTTGGCCTTATCTTTTGTTTTACATTTGTTATCATGCAATTGGGCATGCACTTTTACTTGTTTTCATTGAGGTTTTTGGTACTGCTGTATTTGAGTATCACTTCCAAGCTTTCGTTTCGGTCTGATGGAACAATCTGTCAATTACAGGGAGTTCTCTTCTTTGACAGAATGACAGATGAAGTTCTTGATAGCATTCGAGAAGAGCTAGAGGTCAGTAAACCTGTACCAGTACAGAGTCTAAAGCTACAATAACCACCAGTTAAATTTGGTGGATAAATCACCTTTTGTATCTAAGTAGTGAATTTGGTGAACATCTTTATGTTAAGTAGTCCATTGTCTGAAAAGGTTTGTTATCATTGTAACTCTACAAATTCCTGACAAGTATTGTACTATAGGCCCTAGAAAAGAAGTACGAAGAAAAAACTGGACTGCCAAGCCCTGAAAGAGTACAAGCACGACAAAAAAGGAAAGCAGGAGTTGGTTTTGGCAAACGTTGATGAGACATTTTGTGTTCAAATCCCTTTCATCTTCTTGTAGGATATGAGTTAAAATATTATTTCTGAGTTTGAGATTTTAAACTTTGTTCCCTTGGGTTTTTGTCCTGAAAATTTTCTTCTTATATTCCACTGCAGGATTTAACTCTTGTATAGGAAGCAGACAATGACAAGAAACACGTTTGCTTTTCTAAATCTAGAGGAGCACATCACATTATGTGACGCAAATCTCCCAAACAGGATGCACGGTTGAGACGCAAATCATATATTTCAGAATCTTTTTTTGGCTGAATATTATATGTATTCAGATTTTCTGTTTTGCTCTGTTATTTAATGTTGCCCTATTAGCTTGAGCTTGGAAGTGCGTGTAGAATGTGCTTGCCGACTAAGTTGAACCATGTCGTGGTTTACCTTTGTTATAAGTAAAATGCGTTAGTTGTTTACTTGTGTTGGATTTTTTGGTAATTAGACTTTTGATTTATTGTGTTTATGTCTCGTTTTGTACATTTACTTTGCATCCCTCAGATGATATAACCATTTCTATGGATTATGAAGATCTACTTTGCTTGTGATGTGTTCTATCATAACTGGTTCATAAAGTTATAATTGTTAGATTGTTGCTTCACAACTAGAATCCTTCCTTTAGCTATGGGTTGGGACCTCTTGTTTTGACTCATGGCCAATTCAATAACTCCCAGTAGTTTATAACAGAAAGCAATACATTGACATGCAATATGTTACATTTTGTTTGCAAATGATTTATACAAACTAGTATAAGACAAAGCAAGGGAATCAATCCTTGTTTATTCGTATAAGTATAATGTTTGGCCTATCTTAACATTACATAATTTCTTGTTCTAATATCAGCAAGCATCATTATTAGACTGACTTGCAGCTCCTGGTGACTTTTTTGTTTTCAAACATTTTATTGGTGGTAGAGTTTGTGTTTTCACTTCGCCGTGTGCTTCCCAGCAGAAAGGATCAAGTGAGCGTGCTTTGTCTGTGGCTGGCTTAAGTGCTATGTTTGACAGTGAGAGTCCTGTGCATGGCAAGCTATCACTGCAGGCGAAGCGTATAGGTTGCTTTGTGTAGGTACCTTTTATGTTTATGTAGTTAATGTTTGATACCGCCACTGCTGAAGTTTCGTTGTGGCATCCTCCACCATCGCAATAGTATTGATCTATTATAATCGGATTGGCTACGTTGCTGACTTGAATATTTGAAAACATAACTTGTTTTACAGACCCTGACCCTCCCTATAATTAAACATAACCAAAAATGTTCAGCATCTTTGAACTATCACATGCTTTTATCAATCATCTTTGCCTCTATTCTGTATGCAGATGACTCTGCAGGAAAATTTACCTGCCAGGATTTTATTCGAACTCCATTCGTAGTTTCATGCATCGTGACATCACGGACAGTAATGTTTGAAACACACGCTTTTGTATTGTACTTTCCCAGTCCTCCGATGCTAATTCCATGGCCAGGGCCACAGTCTACATCATGTATGTAGATATTAGAGCATCCAGTTTGAATCGATATACAATCATCTCCTGTAGAATGAAGGAACTTGTTATTACTTCAGATGATTTGACTTTACAATATCTTATTAAGAATGAGTTGACTTGTGATATCTTCAATTTAAAGAAAACGGGACTTGTTTGAAGTCTGTGGTTACCACAAGCCAGCGTGCTGCGGTAAATAACGGCATCTTTAGAATTTTGCAGGTGGATTCCATCTGTGTTTGGGGAATCTCCAGGGGATGAAGTTGTGAAATCAGACACTTGAATGTTCACGCAACTATCAAACTTGAGATGGGTTTGAGGGCTGTTTTGTATGGTGATTCCATTGACTGTTACACCATTACTCCCGTAGAACCTCAAAGCCTGCATACACACCATGGTAAGTTGAAATAAATTAAAGTTTCAAATGTTGATTTGAGCTTGACTCCATCCATGAGATTTAGTCAAGGTAAAACTTACTGTTGGTTTAGTACTTGGCATTTTTGTACCCAGTTGTTCTTTCATCTATCACAGTTGAAAAGGAATAGAAGCTCGAGTTAGCAAGCTACGTTTTCAAATTTTGTTAAGCTAAAAAAATGGAATATATATTCTTACCATGTCTTTCTTAGTTATTGACTCTGACTCATCTGCTGGATCATAGGCAGGGGACTTATTCCACCATACTGATCCTCGTCCATCAATTATTCCTTTTCCTTTTATAGTGATTCCTGTAAGTGTTTTGAATTCTATCCATTGCAAGAGACCTGAACCCCATGCACTTGAACTCGTTGGAGCTATGATCTTTCCATCTAGCTGCATAGTATCGAGATACGTCAGTCATGATTATAAAACTAGAAATGCATTGTTGTTTTTGTTAGCTTGAGAATTCACCTGAAACACGATTTTCTCTTTACATCCTTTTCCCAGGAAGGAAACAGGTCCAACAAGGAACGTAGAACCAGATGGAACTAATAATGTTGACCCTGCCACCTTACAAGCTTCCACCCAAGCATTTTCGAAGGCCTGCGATATAAACGGTTCCATTATATATCAATAAAACAGTTATCGATGCAGCTAACCAAAGAAATGCTCACAAACCTTTGTGTCATCGCTTGTCCCATCACCTTTTGCGCCATAGTTAAGCACATTGATTGTTGCGGAACTTTTCCCTTCGGCAATAGACCTGCGGTTTCCTTTCCATACACTGTTCCTAGCGTTGCAAGTCCCAAATCTCGAAGAGAGTAAGGAGATTAAGAGGAGAAAGTTCAGGGAAAGATATTTCAAGGTAAGTTTATTCATCTTTAATATCGAATAAGGATTTGTTTATATGAAGAATGTGTTTAGATATGGAATGAAGAGGTAATGGTGCGAGGCTCATATTTATAAGTAGAGAAAAGCACTGTTACGAATCTATGATACAGTTAAACAGTTAGATGAGGACAAACGGCCTTGAAACTCTCTTCCTCTTCAAGCATGTTTTCTCATTTGCTATATTTTATCATATTAGCAAAAAAAAAAGGTGATGGGTTTTACTTGCTTGATCAGCTTGTGACCACATCATCACACTTTACTTGCGATTTGGCTTTGATATATTGTTGAAAATCATAATACAACATCAGCGTTTTTTTACTTACAATTAAGCGTTGAATCTGTACTTGTATAGGCGTGTGCATTTCTTTTGGTCGCTACTAACATTATAGTGTTCTCTAGCGATAGTTCGAAGTTTCATTAAAATGGCTATGTATTACTGATCATGAGCCTCTTGTGTGCAGCTCATAGTTGCTAAGAAACTACTGATTGCCTTCGTTTAGAACAGAGTATGAGTCCGGTCAGATACTTAACCAGTATTGGTAAGTTATTTGGTTTAATGAAAACCAAAATCCATTGATCAGGTATCACTAGATATTGCGAAAGAGTCAAGAAAAGTTGCTATAGAAATAACAGGTATATCCCACGTAAACCTCATCAGTAGATAATATTTTTTATGTTTAGTCCTTAAATCAAGCACCGTAATTTATGTTAAACCTATGGTGTCACTGAATCTTTTAATTAAATCTATTAATCCTTGTATCTTCAACTCAGATTTTCAAAAGATCCACTAGTCGCAATTCGCAAAGACGATGTAGGATGGTTGGTACGGTTTTCTGTTTATCGTTATAGAGAGAATAAACCAACATTGGGGGTTTTCTGGTTTAACACTAACGATATATAGTAAGGTTCAATGTATGAAATGAAAACTCCGTGACCTGAAGATACACGTGCATGAGTCCCTGGTAAAAGGATATGTAGGCTGCTATAGATTAGCACGTTGTTACGTGTATGCATCATATCCCATGCGTTGATGGTTGACAAACTTTGTTGAATTATTCTAGTATTTGATTTCATGATCTTCTTGGTTAAGAAGCCTATTGTTGGTATAGTTTAATATCACTCATTCTATTTTGAAATTCTTGTTACTATATTTTATTATTTTTCTCTTGCTTTGGCAGTTGAAAGTGTGATATATAAATTTTGGCTTCACGTAACTGATTTCTTGTCCTCTTTCTCAATATCGTTTTTCTTCTCTGCCAAAGGATCTTTCTCAATATCTATATATAGTACACGATAGGTTATGTCTTTTTGTTTTTGGTTTAAAATGAGTTTAAGTAACGTGGCAACATTACACTAATTTTACAATACTTTGGTGGTTCAATCTTTTATATCTTACGGGTGAACACATGCACGTGAAGTGGACATAACGAGCAAGGCACACGAACAATATTTTTCTAGTACTCCGTAGAATTTGGGTATGCTTAACAACTCGCGTAACACGTAATATTTGATATATGCATCATTGTGTATTCTTTAACCCGTGATTTGATGTAACGTTTTCTACGTTCTTATTATCTAATACGTAGTCAATTTTATAATAGCGTTGTTTTTTCTTTTTTTTGGGGGGGTCAACTTCTATGTTAGTGTTTTGTCTGCACGGATCTGTACGCAATTCTGTGAATAACGCCAATTTTCCTGATTGTTTAGCTTAGTATCGTGTACGAAATTCACTCTTTTGTCGTAACCATGTATTTTTAGTCTACAATTGGTGATTCCTGTCAAATTGTTGGCACATCAATTCCTATATGTTTTTAGAAATCCCAATGATTGTCCAACCAAATTTCTTATTTTCAACAGAGTTGAAAGTGCAATCTACATATTATTATTACTAACAGTCCATCAGAGAAAAGAGTATAATAACAAGCCCATATCCTTCTAAGGCCCATATCCGTGTATGACGCCCAACCAACGGTCGAATCAGACACGACATAGTTTAGCGAACCAAATCTTGTCGCTTTATATGCTGACTTGGCGATTTTCGTAATTTCAGATTTCCTTTTCTGACAAAACAACATTACAAAATTAACAAATACCGAAAAAGTGAGGAACGAGAATCAGTGTACGCCACGCTTCGCTTAACGTTTCATACTCCTCTTAATCTTAGCCGTCAGATCATATATTTTCGGTCATCTCGCTTTTCCTGACTTAAAATCTAGCCGTCTATCAAAGAAGCTTACCATACACCTAACCGCACGGAATAAATTCAAAGACCATTAAAAGCAGTCAACACAAATGACGTGAGTCTTAGTTATTCCAACCAAAACACGCCACGTGTAGGGATACTCTTCCTTGAGCGCGGACGTCAAAACTAACTATCAACTAAAACTTTGAAACCACCTATTGGGGTCCGCTTTCTCTGCCATCAGAACCAAAAACCAAACACATAGAGAAACCACAATCACCATTCACGAAGAGCGAGATTTGCCATTTTCGGCAAAGAAGTGTTTACTTTAGGGTTTCTAGTTGCTCCTGAAGCAACCAATGAAGTGAAATCGCGGCGGAACTTTTCAGGTATGACGGCGCCACGACCGGGGTCGGCGGTTTCCTCTCTGTGCTTGCTTTACTTGTTTAGCTCGACGGATAGAGAGTATACTGGAACAAATTTGAGTTTTGTGAAGTAGGAAGATTTAAGGCTGTATGTACTTCTGTGTGACTCTATATTAGCTGGATCGGTGTTAAATGTAGAGCTATGCTTTTGGCGCTTCTTGCTTTTAGATCTTCTTCACTGTCGCCGTGCTTGCTCATTTTGTTTCAGTTTTGGTCGTGTGATAGGGATTTAACCAAAGCCCTTTGTACTGACTTTTGTTGTTAACAGATTGACGAATTGAATCAAAGTTCTTGAAAATGGCTTCTGTGGGAACGTTACCTGCTTCATCTATGGCTACTAAACAAAGCAATGCTTCCATATGCGCTGACAAACTACCTGAAGGGATTAATGAGATGAAGATTAAAGATGATAAGGTTGAAGAACTCACATTCAATAATAAGATTGGCTGGCTACACTTGCTCTCTTCTTTGGTTTAACTTGTTTTCTTCTTGCTGCTTTTCTTATTAGGAAATGGAAGCTGCTGTGGTTGATGGGAATGGAACTGAAACGGGTCACATTATTGTTACAACTATTGGTGGTAAAAATGGCCAGCCTAAACAGGTTAGCTTGTTTCCGAGATAAATATTATTCGCATTCATAAGTGACACAATTTGGGGTTTCTGTGATGTGTAATGTGTGATACAGACTCTTATAGCTTGTTCTTTTTGTCCTTTCAGACCATAAGCTATATGGCAGAGCGCATCGTTGGACAAGGTTCTTTTGGAATCGTCTTTCAGGTAGTGTTTCAATTACATACCCTGAATAATTTAGTTTACTTAAATGGCTGGTATGTATTTACTCAATGTAGATAACTTTTTTCTGACTTTGTTACCTGTATATCTGCAGGCCAAGTGTTTAGAAACGGGGGAAACTGTTGCAATCAAGAAAGTTTTGCAAGACAAGAGATACAAGAACCGTGAGCTGCAGACGATGCGGCTTCTTGATCACCCTAATGTTGTATCCCTCAAGCATTGTTTCTTCTCAACGACAGAAAAAGATGATCTGTATCTCAATTTGGTCCTTGAATATGTTCCTGAGACGGTTTATCGTGTCTCTAAGCACTACAGTCGGGCAAATCAGAGAATGCCCATGATATATGTTAAACTCTATACTTATCAGGTAATTTTCATTTAACTAACTGTGTATTCTCATCTTCTGTTATACTAGGGGTTATTCAATATTGTTTCCGTAAAATGTTAAAAAACTTTCTCTGCCTTTCTGTTGTGGATACAGATTTGCAGAGCTTTGGCATATATTCATGGAGGAGTAGGAGTCTGCCACAGAGACATAAAACCACAGAATCTTCTGGTTCGTGTCTTAAGTTGAAATGTTGGTCAAACCTTTCCGTGGTCTATATATTTCTGCTTTATTAATATTGTGCTTCTTGTAGGTTAATCCTCATACCCATCAGGTCAAGCTCTGCGATTTTGGTAGCGCAAAAGTTCTGGTATAGCATCTATTAGCAATAAGAGATAGATTGATTTTGTTTTCATTATGGAAAAATTGGCACATTTCTGGTGCTAAACAATGTCACTAGTCCTAACCTTTTTAGCTTTGCCATTCTTGAACAGGTCAAAGGCGAACCAAACATCTCATATATCTGCTCCCGTTACTATCGAGCACCTGAACTTATTTTTGGAGCCACGGAATATACAACTGCAATTGACATATGGTCTGCAGGCTGTGTCCTTGCTGAATTGCTGTTGGGACAGGTAGTTTGACTGTCCTAATTTTCCACCATTATATATCTTTTAGACTTTATGATTTGAATCGGAGAATGATGTCTAAAGTTCTGTATTACCAATCTTTGGCTGGTCCTACTTTTGGGTAGCCACTTTTTCCAGGTGAAAGTGGAGTCGACCAGCTAGTCGAGATAATTAAGGTACTTCAGTTTCGTGAAACCGAAGTATTGAATATGGACTGGGTCATGATTATGTGGAATTAAGAGTCCCCATTTTCTGCTATTGATCGCCATTACTTCTTTGGTATTGTGTGGTTACAGGTTCTTGGAACACCAACTCGGGAGGAAATCAAATGTATGAATCCAAACTACACTGAATTCAAATTCCCTCAAATAAAGGCTCATCCTTGGCACAAAGTAAGAAAACACATCATCAGTCTCTCTCTTTCAAAATCACTCCATATTTTTTTTCCTTTACTGATAAAAAAAACTGTTGCTGGTTCCTAAGATATTCCATAAGCGTACACCTCCAGAAGCTGTAGACCTCGTCTCAAGACTTCTCCAGTATTCTCCAAACCTCAGATCAACCGCTGTAAGTCCAGGAAATGATTACTGTTTCACTTATAGTAACATCATATTTGATATAAGTTTGGTTGATTCAAACTAATTGTGATTGTAGATGGAGGCAATAGTTCACCCGTTCTTCGATGAGCTACGTGATCCCAATACACGTCTTCCCAATGGTCGTCCCTTGCCTCCTCTGTTCAACTTTAAACCTCAAGGTATGTTTCTTCCAAATACATAACATATGTTTTTCTGTTTGTCTTCCATTTCTACTACAAAAGTGACTGAAGAAGTGTGTGTTTGTTTATTAAATTGTAGAACTCAAAGGAGCAAGCTTAGAGTTGTTGGCCAAGATTATACCTGACCACGCCAGAAAACAATGTTCCTTCCTGGCTATCTAAATCTCTCTGTGTCTCCCGGTTTATGTGTGTGTATGTAGGCACAAATGCATATGCTTATCGCTAAGCAATGGAGTTAGCTTCTCAGGATTATTATTAGTTTTTCATATTTCATGCGTCTCTGCTGTTAATTGTCTTGGATGACAGACATTATTTTTTAATCAGAAGCTATGTACCTTATTATATACAATGGTTAATGTATTGTATTATTATGTATGTAACGATCTCCGAGTAGCTGCAGTCATGTTGGATAATGGATACTAAATTAGTATGAATTAACCTTCTCGGTCGTCACGTATCATATCTTTGTTATGCATGCATATTGCTAATGCTTCAATACTTGACCCAAAATTATTTCAAAAAATGTCTACTTCTCTGTAGATTTAGATATAAAAAAATACAATCACTTCGAATTTAAATTTAACCAATCTCACTTCTTCAAAGCAATAGTGTATGATTATGGATCCACAAAGTTAAAGTTAAAGTTAAACCAATTTCACTTCCTCGGAAATTACATCTAAGCAGCACAAGTGTCATGTTAACGTGTCGTTTATACATTAATTCATGTTTATTAAATTGGGTTTATTTAGTTAATTATAAACATTTCGGGTGTAATTGTTGAAGTAGAACAAAGCATAGGACCGAAATCGTAATATTCTGAATAATTGAATTTCTTTTTAGAAGTCGAGACTTTTTTTTGTTCGCTGTTTCGTCAGTAAACGGAACGGCAGAACAGAGCTCTCTCTCACCGGCGGCGACAGTGACATTGTCGGAGCCGGGAGCTCTTCTGCTAATCTGTAGCTCAAAATTGAAATTGTGGGTATTGATCTTATTCTCGTACTAGATTATTCTTGCTTTCGTTCATTCAGCTCGTTCTCGTCGCTGTTGAACTCGGGTCTCCGACTCAGTAAGAGTTCTCGGTCAGGCCAATTACGCTGGCTTGATTTGTACCGTCCTTCAAAACTTGTTTTCTAATGGTTCTGATCGAAAACTACTGAAATAGAATACAAATTCGTAGAATCTGCAATAATTCTCAAAACTTAGATTCTTACAAACACTTTGTTTTTCTCCTTGTCTGAGTTTTTGATTGTTGAGATTATGGAAGAAGTTAACGAAATTTGGGGCCATGCGTTGCATTTCAATTAGTTTAATTCGGCTTTTTGTTACTGACGGATCTTTCTTCAGAACCAGTTCTTCTTCCCTTACTTAGATTTTCCTCTTAAACTGATCAAAACTTGATACTTTTGAGTTGATGAATTTTGGCAGGTGTACTACTACACTTTCGTTCGTTCCTTGAAGCTCAATTACGTTTATTGATCGCATCAGATTACTACAACGATGGTACATTACGATTACTTGCTCAATTTTGTATTCCTTTGATGCCATCACACTGTCTATATAAGAGGGAACTATGAATAGAATTATGGGGATGACACATTTTTTTCTGTTTTCTCTCTTTGTAACTGTAAATTTAAATGCTTATGAAGGCGCAGGATTCTGCTGGTGATGACGATTATGTGGATTGGAATACTGATGATGATTTTGAGATTGATAACTTTCAGTCATCTCCAGTACATTCCAGGGCCGAAACTTTAGTTGGTGTAGCTGTGGTAAGCCTTCTTCCAAAACACAAATCTTACCCATTTATCAGTTTATGCCAGAACAGAATCATCCCTTATGTGAATTATTTTGTTTCTAATATCAGACAACTAGTTCTTTGAGCTCTCCTATTGAGACAACCGACTTAGTTCAGATGGGATTCTCAGACGAGATATTTGCCACATTATTTGACATGGGATTTCCCGTTGAGATGATTGCTAGAGCAATCAAAGAAGCTGGTGAGGCTTTTTCTCCTGCTTCTTGTTTTTTTTTTTTAGTATATATGTTTCTTACATTTATCAATAATTTTACAGGACCAAATGCGGATACTTCGGTTATAATTGATACTATCTCCAAGTACTCTGTGAGTTTTTAATATTTTTGTGTTGCTTGCGATTTTGACATTTATTCATCATAATATTGACCCTTTCTGTAGCTAATGAATTTCTCATTTTTTTTTTGTAATTCTTTGTAAAGAGTGAGAATGAAGCTGGTTCTTCCAAGTCCAAAACTATTGATCACTTCCTTGCGATGGGATTTGACGAGGAAAAAGTTATCAACGCCATACATGAACATGGTATTTACGGGTTTTTTCTTCTTTTAATAATTCTTGCATGTTATGATTTTTTTACATTTGCTTTTGCAGGAGAAGAAAATATGGATCAAATAGCAAATACACTCCTCTCATGTGCAGTAAGTGATGTTGAAAATATATAATTCCTCCTAGCATAAAAACTTATATCTTTAATTTTATTGATGGTTTGTAGGAACCAAAGAAATTAACAGAAGTAAAGGAAGAAGATGACATTGACTGGTCAGATGATGAAATAAATTACTCAGAGACATTACTCTCTGATGATGAGGTATAATTCCCTCATGATGGCGGTAACATATATTTAACATCACACCTTTCATTGTAAATTCATCTTATTGCTATTGATATGTATTTTTAATTTGTTAAACCATGACAGAAGGAACCAAACTCATCCAATCTAAACAGAAACCAAATACGGTCTTTGGTGAAGATGGGTTTCTCAGAGCTAGAAGCTTCTCTAGCTGTGGAGAGATGTGGTAACCTTACGTTAAACTATTTCCATTAGCATTAAATTTTAGTTCCCTTCTATTCAGGTTTCTCCTAGAGAAAGTGGCATAAACCAAGTTTCCTTTTTTAATGTTAGTAGCTATGTGAATGAGGCTTTAGCCTCTGATTCTGTGATGTAGGCCTTAGATGTGTTTGCTGAGCATTGTGATCGTATTTTTGCAAAGTGATTCAGTTGTCATTAGTTAGGTGCTAGCCTCTATGATGTAGGCCTTAGATGTGTTTACTGAGAATGTGATTGTTTTTCAATTGATAAAGTTTTTAGTAAATACAATTGCATTTCATTAGTTCCTTTTATTCAGGTTTTTCTAGAGGAGGTGACATCCAAATTACCTAGTTTTACTGTTATTACCTATATAATTAAGGGCGAAATTGTGGCTTTAGCCTCTGGTTCTGTAATGCCTTTAGATGTCTTTTCTGAGGACTGATTGTGTTTCACTAATCGACACTGTTGCACTCATTGATATATACTATCTATCTAGTACCCGAAGTGTGCTGTTACCTTATATGATCTAAATAAATTCCAGGAGAGAATGTGGACATTGCAGAGCTCACAGACTTCCTTTGTGCTGCTCAGATGGCTCGAGAATTTACTGAGTTTCACACTGAACCTGAAGAACAAAGAGTATGGTTAAAACTTGTTGAAAATCTGTTTTCTATAAGTTGATTCGTTTGGACACTGATTTTGTGGGACTTTGGTACGTGCAGCCTAGACATGATGTTAAAAAAAGGCGGCTTGAGTCAAAAAGAGAGCCAAGTTCATCTGTTGATGACGAGCCGGTTCGGCTACCAAATCCAATGATAGGATTTGGGCTTCCAAATGAGCCAAGAGAGGAAACTCGAATACTTCCAGAGTTAGCTCGTGGTCCACCTTTTTTTTACTACGAAAATGTCGCCCTTGCACCTAAAGGGGTTTGGGAGACTATCTCAAGACATCTATATGAGATTCCACCAGAATTTGTGGACTCCAAATATTTTTGCGCCGCTGCGAGAAAGAGAGGATACATCCACAATCTCCCTATCAGCAACAGATTCCAGCTTCAACCTCCACCAAAATACACTATTAATGAGGCATTTCCATTGACCAAAAAATGGTGGCCAGACTGGGATAAAAGGACCAAACTGAACTGCATTTTGACTGTTACCGGCAGTGCCCAGTTAACTAACAGGATCCGTTCAGCCCTTGAGCCTTATAGTGGTGAACCAGAACCGCCTAAAAATGTACAGAGATTTGTGATTGACCAGTGTAGAAGATGGAACCTGGTATGGGTGGGTAAGAATAAAGCTGCCCCACTCGAGCCAGATGAGATGGAGAATCTTCTGGGATTTCCAAGAAATCATACAAGAGGTGGTGGAATGAGTAGAACTGAACGCTACAAATCTTTGGGAAATTCTTTTCAGGTAACTTACCATCACATCTGCATAAGAAAATTTTGCATCAAATTATAGTGGAATACTGGTACGTTTCTTATGTGTATTCATTCATGGGCTGGTTACATTTGTTTTAGGTTGATACTGTGGCGTATCATCTGTCTGTCCTGAAACCCATTTTCCCAGATGGAATCAATGTTCTATCCCTCTTCACGGGTATTGGAGGTGGAGAAGTGGCGCTTCATCGTCTCCAAATCCGAATGAAGCTTGTTGTGTCTGTTGAGATCTCAAAAGTCAACAGAAATATTTTGAAGGACTTCTGGGAGCAAACTAACCAGACTGGAGTTCTGATCGAGTTTTCAGACGTCCAAACCTTGACTAACGACACGATCGAAGATTTGATGAAGAAATATGGTGGATTTGATCTAGTTATTGGAGGAAGTCCTTGCAACAATCTGGCAGGCGGTAACAGGGTAAGCCGAGTTGGTCTTGGAGGTGACCAATCTTCTTTGTTCTTTGAGTACTGCAGGATTCTGGAAGTGGTACGCGGGAGGATGAGAAGATACTGATCACTCCCTTAAATGAAGTAGATATGACTTATTGAAATACTCTGTTTTGTTTTCTTATGTAATCTGGCCATGAAGGTACATGATTGAATGACATAAAGTCAACCTAACTCTCTTATGCTTTTTGCACTTTTCACTTCACGACCTTAGCACTGATGTTCTGGAATTTATTCAACCAAAGAAATATGTCATCATATAACAACTCTGTAACTGTGAATCGACTTGTGGAGTTTTCAGTTTTACCTGGAAGACAATATAATCCAGCCTGAAATTGCATCACCTTCCTTTGAAATTCTTGCTCAGTTGTGTTATGTCGGATTCCAATAGCAGATCTGACTGTATAGGTTTCTGTCTTGGTCAATTGTCTAACTAGAGGATCTCTTCCTGCTTATTGATCAGACAATGAAACAATGGTAATGAGAAACACTGAGGCGTTTCATACAACCATCTGATAAAGGCATCATCTGAAAGATTTTCATACCATACTAGTAGAATCATGTACACACAGGTTTAGTGTGCCTCTAGGTTAGTTTCTTCAAGGGCAGTTGCAGTTTGTGATAATTTTCAAATATGAAATATCAGGGTTGGCAGATTCTGTATAGAGGATGAAACAAGTGATCATGGCTTCTTTACTTGTCTATATGCCTAGAGGTGTGGCGACTGGAATTCTAAATCAATGATCTGTACTCTGAATAGTTCCTTGTATGATGACAAGCTTTGTTACCTGATTCAACTTATAATACCAGTCCAATTTCTGAATTCCATAGTCAAATTCCAATTTGGATCCTATGGAGATATGAGTGGTATTCGACAGGAGAAATTTGGAAACAACAGAAACAATCAATCGTGCTATCATAGACGCAAACACATGTATCAAGACGTTCATATACAGTGAAGTCCATTAGAATTGGAATAATAGCCCACTGTAACCTGTAGATCGCAGATGGGATGGGATGGATATAGTGTAGCTATGGTGCTACATTATTCATATCAGGTAGATCATTGAACTTCAGTTTTGGTTGGATTATTCGTACTACAATGGACCAGTTCCTCGGAAGCTGGAATAGGCAAACTCCTAGGAAGATCACCAGAGGAGGAAGCAGAGTGCACACGCTTTTTAATATGGGCATTGGGGCACTACAAGCGGCATGATTTAACTGATATAGAATAGTTGAGTGTGAAATTTCAAAATTCCAGCACTAGATCCGAGTTTGGTACCGGGAAGCAATGTTTGAAAAGCCAAAACTTTGGTTGGGCCTTTCAGAGTGTAATGCTTGCAGAGAGACTTTGGCCATGGAAGCAATTAAGAGTAGTCGTGACGATAATAAAAATGAGAATTGTTTTTTGTTCTGCTTGAATAATATCAATATTTAATTATTATTCTGTAGACTTTGTAGCAGATGGATCAATGTCGGATACTGCAGTCCAAATTAAACGAAACAAACTTGTTGTTACTTCATTCTTAATAAGAGGTCTGCTAATATTGCTTAAACACCATCAAAGAAAGAACACATAACAAGTCTTTGTTTTCATTATATATAAACAAAAAAAGGTTTCTTGTTTGAACAAAACATTAGAAGTAATAATCCTACGGGGGTGTGTTTGATGTTAGAAGTACAGGTGACTTCGTTCCACACACACATCACAGAAAATGATTAAATATTAACCGAACCGAAAGGGTCTCTACTATGTAAATTGCCCTCAACTGGTTAAAAAGATTTACCTATGTTTCATCATCATCATCTCGTGAAAGCTGCGAGGTGGTTCAGAAGTGGAAGACGGTGGACCTCCACTGAATCTCTCCGGACTACGGCTTCTCTCTCTTCCCCATCCCGAGCTGCTACTGCTTCAACCACCAAAACTGATTTTTAAGTTTATATGAAAAACTAAGCATCATGAGAGATGTCGAACGAGTTAGCTTTATCTTTCTATTTACCTGTCACGTGAACCCCAGCTTCCTCTACCACCAGAATCTCCACGACCACCATAGCCAGAATCACCACGACCACCATAACCAGACTCACCACGGCCACCGTAACCAGAATCTCCACGACCACCATAACCAGAATCTCCACGGCCACTAGAAGGTGGACCCCAGCGGCGGAATTTGTTCATCCCACCACCACCACGTGTAGCCATTTCACGGACCTGTGGAGGAACTTTCTGATTTGCTCCTTCCAAGATCTTGATCAAATCTGAAGCATGTTTTGCATCTTGGTCCCCAAAGAAGGTGTAAGCCAAGCCGGTTGCTCCAGCTCTTCCAGTTCTTCCGATTCTATGGACATAGTCCTCAACTCCATTTGGAAAATCATAGTTGACCACCACCCTGTAAATCACAGTTCTCCATTAAGCATCATTGGTTTCCAACTTTCTCTGATGGTTGTAATTTCAATTTCTCATATTCATACCTGATGTCCTTCACGTCAAGTCCACGAGCAGCTACATCGGTTGCAACAAGAACAGGAGTCCTACCACTTCTAAATTGGTTCAGCACGTCATCTCTCTCAGCCTGAGACTTGTCTCCATGTATAGCAGCAGCTCCAAACGTGCGGGTCAGATTCCGTGCTAGTTGATCACACATCCTTTTGGTTGAACAAAAAATAATAATCTTGGATCCCGGTTCCTGAGACCGCAGTATCTGCTCTAACCTTGTATGTTTCTCCATAGGTGCTAGGACTTCAATAGTCTGTATCAGATCAAATGAATAAACTATCAGATCCATCATGTTATTATGTCTAGCAGAAACCAAAATGAATAATAAATTTCATGATTTCAAACCCTCACCTGAGTAATGGACTTGTTCGCCACAAGCTCATCAACATTACCAATGTTGACCTGGGCAGGGTTAACAAGAAGATCAGCTGCGATTTTCCTGACCTCCTTAGGCCATGTTGCTGTGTACATGAGGGTTTGACGCTTAGTGGGAACCTCTTTCACAATTTTCCTGATCTGAGGCTCGAACCCCATGTCCAACATTCTATCAGCCTCGTCTAGCACAAGATAAGATACTTGATGCAGACTGATTCTCCTCATTTCAAGTATATCATTCAGCCGCCCGGGAGTTGCAACAACAATATCTACACCTCTTTCTATTTCCTTCAGCTGAGGACCCTTGGGTGCTCCACCATACAAGCACTACAAAAGAAACATCAAGGAAAACACTCAATACTTATCAAATAGCAAGTTCAGAACTTAAACATTCAAGGATTTGGACTTACCGCACACGAAATTTTGGATGACCTGCCAAATTTCAGAGCTTCAACTTGGATTTGTGTGGCCAACTCCCTAGTAGGTGATAATACCAAGATCGTTGGGCCCATTTGTGGATCATTGTGGATCCGTTGGAGATGCATAAAACCAGGAATCAAGTAACCAAGAGTTTTTCCAGAGCCTGTTTTAGCAATTGCTACTATGTCTCTGTTTTGCATCGCAATTGGCCACGACTGAGCTTGAATTGGAGACGGAGAAGAGAATCCTGCACTGTATACCTGAAAATACAAAAACCAGGCTGTTCTTCAGCAGAGAAACACCAAACATTACTCTCAGCTTAAGGAGATAGAAGAAGCATCATCCTCCCATTTGCAGGCAACAATAGATGTTGAAACCTGCAGAGAACACCTCTACTTCTGTCTGGACCCAATGGGTAAATAATATATAAACATCAAGAAGCTCTGCCACAAGCTTTGGGTGAATTTGCGATCCCTTACCAAAAAATTTGGTCCACCAAAATGGGCACTCCAAATAAATTGCAAGGACCCCAAAGAAGTGGCACAGCGTACGACATTAGCTCCTCCAAGAGCAAATATCGCACCTGGGACGAAAGAGAACGCATATGGTATAAAACTGTGACTCTAATCCACACAGACCCTCCAGTACTAAATGAATAAAACACTCAAAAGACAGACGAGTATGGCTGGCAGATACAATAAGTCTGCAATATTCAGCAAAATAGCTCCCTCTGTAAATTACTAAATTCAACCAAAGAAAAAACTCAAAATAGTCCAGCACAGTAGCAATTATATGTGTATATATATAGTCCACCACCCCCCCCCCCCATCCTCCCCGCGCAACAAAAACACCTAAAGCTCGCAGACAAAATAAGTCTGTCATATTAGACAAAATAGCTCCCTCATAAATCACAGAATTCAACAAATTTGGAAGAAAAAAATATATATTCAAAATGTCTAGCGAACTAGCAGAGCAATGTGAGACATGCTTACTCCCCAACCAAAAACAGAGAGAGGATAAATTAAACTGATGTGGAGTAGAACAAAGATGCTTTCATACCTCCCGCAGAAGCTCTGGGGGAAGACCAGTGGCTTCAAAAGACATCAGAGGTGGTGGCACTTGGCCTCCCTACGAAAATGAAAAATGAATCTCAGAGTCAGCAGGATATAAAACTTATATAGTGAATGGTTAGTACCTAAAAGAAACAAATCTTCAATGAAGGTTAACAATATAGCCAAAAATGAAAACTATCTGACCACATGTAGAGAAGTCGGATGCAGAAAGAAATTTATAACAAAAAAAAATGACCAGCATTATAGGGAGGCAACTAATTCTGTATAGGAGAATGATCAGATGAAACTCAGAAAGAGACTCATATCTCATTAATACTTACACTGACAGTAATTTCATGGCGACGGCAATAGGCCTCTGGGGACAATTCATTTCCTGTGGCTGAAGAAGGAGGCCCTCCAGCTTTCACTGGTCCACTAGCAGCAACATTAGAAGATATTGGTCCAGTTCTTCCAGCCTGCTTCAAACCAAAGCAAATATGAAGATACAGTATGACCAAGAATGATAACTCCAGTGTGGCAAGCAAATTGACATGGCAGTTATAGAACTTTGAAGGGTATAAAAAGTAGAAATTAGCCACAAGCACCATGAACAGACAGGTTAGTACCTCAGTGAACCTTGATCCAGAATCAGACTTAGGCCCATCACTGCCGCTATTTTCTTTGCCAGAGCTTAACCCGGAAGAAGATTGCTGAGTCTGAACCGAAGAGCTTAATGGAGTAGGAGCAAGCTTGGGGGGAGTGGAAGAAGCAGGTCTCTCGTACTGAGTAACATTGGTCTCTGGATTCCAAAAGTACAAATACCCAGTTCTACTATCCACAAGACCTTTCCATGGCTTAGGAAGATTAGGATCCTCAGGTGCGTAACGGATTGTAGAAGCAGTAGCTGTAGCAGCCATACCAAATACCTAAAAAAGAGAGTAACATTTCAAAGCGATAACAGCTTCAGTTAAATAATCAATAGGAAACAAACACACAAAAACACAACTTTTTCCCAGAAAAGAAAAACAAAACAGTTCGCTACAAGAAACTATCAACAGAAGGAAAAAAAAAAAAAGCAAGCCCTTTTGACAAAGGCCATCACTTTCCCAGAAAGGATGGATTTTTAAGGTCAAAAGCGAAACTATTAGATAAAAGGGTCTCTGTTTATTTCATAACACCACAGGTTCAGACACAAGGCCAACAAAAAACCCTAACATGCAGAAGAACAGATTCGACCTAGTCACTCTCCAGACAACGAGACAAAACACGATCGAACAGAGAAATCTACGCCAGAAACTACGGAAAATAAACAATGCAGCTAAAATCCCTCAACTACACAAAACGGTACGGCAAAGAGAAAGAAAAAAAAAAGAGGAAAATCTAAAAAAATGTAGCTTTAAAAACTCGAACCGAGCAGAGAGTATGAGAAGGAGCTGGAGATTAGCTTAAGGAAAAATCACGGAGCACAGAGAAAAGCTACGCCACAGAGAAGAAGAAGAAGCGCAGAAAGAGACTGACTGGAGTGGAGAAAAGTAAGGAGAGAAATGCGTGCCGGTTCGTTTCCAACAACTGTTTTTAAAATAATAAATATCTTTCTTAGAGGGCCATCTCTTTATTTTATTGGGCTTAATCTTCTCCTATCTTAAATTATAATTTACTGTGGCCCATTATTAATATACCACAATTAATTATATTTGGTATTGGTGTTAAATTAGTGTAACACGTTCTTTTTCATGAACTTTACCGAAAGTGATATGTCAAACTTTGTTCGGCATAAGCAAGTAAAAGTCTGTCTGACGACGACATTGTGTTCGCTTCTTAACTTATTTAGACGGTTTATAACATGTTACCGTAAATAAGAATGGTCTTTCTTAAGATAATCACAAGACTATACGACAACAACAATTATTACACCGTCATATGATTTCGATTAGTAGACATATTAACCTAAACCTTTACAAGGATGTTTGAGTAATGATTAATGCATGGCCAACACAAATATATATGTAGTATCTGAAAACAATCATATGCCATGCTACTTACATTTTTGTGTGGATTGTGGTCTCTTTTTATACTTAGCTTTTTTCTCGTTTCACAAGTTTTGTTTTCTCTCTAGCTATGGTGTCGACTCTCTAGTATAGCTATATAAGTTATAACCTTCAAAAGGTACTTGGTAATGGTATTTCTAGTTCGTTTATTACCCTTCGGATCATAAGGTTTATCTAAAGTTTCATATACGAACAAATAAAGTATATGTGTACCAAACAAACAATAAAAAAAAACCAATGAGATTAAAAAATTCAAGAGGAAGAACGAGATTTACGAAAACGAAGGAACAAATTTTATTCTCTTGTTCTCAACTTTCTACACGTTACAGGTTAGCACAGGCGAAAATATTTCTATCTTTCGTCGATTGAGTCAATCTCTTATGCATGATGTATCTCCTTGAGATTTCTCCAAAGGTACCTTCCGCTAGCCATATCAACGAACATCCAAAAACCATTCTCCATCTTCCTTTTCGAATTAGATCTTTCTTGTTTAGCATTATTCGCTTCGACTGGTGATAGCTCGTCTGAGAAAAGATCCGGCGAAGAGTTCACCGTCCTCCACGCCATATATCCTGCGAGTACCGCCGAGAAGAACACTAATACGAACCTCAACGGACACATAATTCTTGATACGGAAAAATGAGAGGAGAAGAAGAAGAAGATTTGCTCGATCTCAGGCTTTCGAAGAATGGATCTCTCAAGGTTTGTGAATCGATTGTTGTCCGATAAAGAGAATTTAAAAGGTGCTGTGATATCCCTTTATATATAGTATAGAGGGGCCATTACATGTCTCCCCTCTCCTATCGAGAAAAGGAAATGCGTTTCTAAATATATTTTCTTTACTTGTCGAACAATCTTTTTATTTACGTACCTGTAAAAACTACTTTTTTATTTACACTTGTTATAATCCAAATTTTGATTTTTGGTTTTGTCATCATCACCAAATTAAAAACTTTGTATTAAAACAAACAAATTAACAGCAATTTTTGTTTTCTAACAAAAAAGCGTAATAAGACAAAATCATGTAATTTATAATAATACATGATAACTTTTGAGATTATTAATCCATTGGTGGAGAATTTGGACTAAGCTAGACATTGGAGTCTTGCAAAGGTTAAGTAGCCGGTGTGACCTCTTGCCTCGCTACAAGGCCGAGCCATGACGACTGAAGAAGTAGCATTAGAAGACTTGTCATGTGACACCGTGTCGTCTTCTTCATTTGAACGGTGTTTTCTCTTGCAAGGTCTCAGTCCTCCATCGTCCTCCTCGAGGCTCTGATCAGCCATACTACTAGTATCCACTTTCACTTCCTTCACTTCATATGTTCTGAGAAGCACCTCGAAAGTTCTTATATCTGCAAAATTCAACACACATTACTACAAGTTATAAGATCAAACAAAACTCACAAGGAACAAGGATTTATACGCTGCTATTTATGATATTTGGCTTTGCTTCCCCTAACTTTCCAAGGCAAAGAATGTCAAAACTAATTTTCTAACAAAGTTTATCTACTTAAAGCGATCCTTTCAACTTATTAATAATAAGATGTGTGAGTGTGTCGCATAGAAAGTACTGGAAAAAGGTAGATAACTCTAGTCTATACAACTTATTTTTAGTCCTAGCCCCCTAGTATATGAATTCTGAGAAGAGGTTTCACTGCCAACGTCACTACTTTAGAACTTTGATGCTAAGATGCTTCCAAAGCAGAATTATTCAAGTATTGGGTCAGAACTTATGTCTACAGCTCTTTCAGTTTGTATTAGAGAAAAAAAGTAAAGATATAATGTAAATGAGGATAAGCTTACCTATGAAATCTGATCTGAGGACCTCACAAGTCCGTTGTACTTGCTCGATGCAAGGTGAAAAAGAGCAGAGAACTCCATCTTGCTTTAACATCTTTGCTGCAGAAGGAACCGCTAGCCAAGGCTGTGGAAGATCTAGGAACACCGAATCAGCCAAACCTGACAATTTCTCAGGAAAACCTTCTCCTTGAATATCTCTGACCTCTACGGTTACTAAACTACTAATTCCTGTCTTCTCAAAATCTTCCCTGTTGCAAAGAAAGTAAATAAAAGATGCATAAGGACTATAACTTTAAGACAAAAGGACAACGATAAAGTTAAAACATCAAATAAATTTCTACCTTGCAGAGACAGCTCGTTGCTCGTGGAAATCAAATGAATACACATGTCCAGTTGGAGCCACAGCTCGAGCAAGTGAAGTCGAAAGCGAACCACTTCCGGTGCCCGACTCAAGAACAACACAGCCAGGCACAACTTCTAGATACATCACCACAAAGCTGATATCCGCAATGTAAAGAATCTGAGTCCTGTGGCTTAAAACCAATGTCCATAGCTCAGGAGTAGGAGCCAAGAGGTATACAAATTTACCCTTGTTGCTGAATACTTTCGCCCCTAATGGCTTCCCAATCCAATCCGAGTGCTTATACACACCAAAACGGTTCTGAAGCACAGCGTCTTTGCTTACTTTCACAGGCTTCATCACATCATGTCTTTCGTAAACGATAACTAAGTCGCCATCTTCAATATACCTCTTGAAAGACAAGGCTTTCTTTGACTCAGTTGGTAACATCTTGAGATTAACGGAACCACTTATAGATTGAGGTACAGCTTTTGTCCTGAAAAGTCAAAGTCTCTTGCTAATTAATTACTAAACAACACACTTCATCCTCAGAAACAATGGATTCTCTTCTCAGAAATCACAATACATAATCGCAAACTAATAGTCAATACAAAGCTAAGCAACATTAAACAGTCAAACACATTGATACTCAATATCTTCAGCTTGAGAAACAATTTAATGTTTGATTACAGATCCAAAGACCTTAATTTTAACCAGAAAGCACAAATTTATGATACAGGAGGTTTAGTAAGCTGGAATTAAACACATCAACTAGAAGAAGCGACGGCTTCTACAAGAAACTAAACAGCAATCAGTAGTAAGACGTTAGCAAAAATACTTACAGCGGAAAATTAAGAAGAGAAGCTAAGAACTTCGCAGAGCTGACAATGAGAGTTTGGGTAATGATGTTTGTGAGAAACAAATCTGACCAGACAAAGGAATAAAACCTCAGTAGGGTTTTCGCTTTCCTTTTCTTTTTTTTTTTCGTTTCCTTTTCCAAATCAAATCAGACATTGAGACTAACCGGACAATATAGCAGATTTGGTACCCTCGAACCGGCTGATCCGGATTGGTTTTATACAGATATAATTTTTTCTGGGCCTTTGTTGGCCCACTTAAATAATCTATTCAGCTCTCTTTTGTTTTTTTGCTCTTTCCTTTTCGCCGGAACAGTCATCGAAGCTCAGAGCACACTTTAGCCATAAACTTTGCCGACGCGTCGTCAGATTCAGAGTGGTCGACGTTGATCGAAAGAGTTGAGCTCGGAGTCTCGGATGCTGAATAAGCTCACGCACGGCGCTTTCACGTACCGTGCCAGCCTCGCCGCCATGTTAGCTTCGTCAACCTCTGCTGGTTTGTCGTCTTCGTTCGTTTCTGCTCGGAATTCATGGAAGAGTACAGGATTTCTCAATTCTGGTATATTCTCGGGTGGCGTTTCGATGAATCGCGTTGCTTTCCCTGCTCAGCTTCATCGCGCATCATCTGTTCGATGTTTTGCCTCTTCAGGCGTTTCTGATAGAATTCAGGTTCAGAACCCTATAGTTGAAATGGATGGTGAGACTCCTTGCGCAATCATAGACTTGGTTGTGTGTAGATTGATCGGTACTTAGTATCATAGATTAGCTTGGCTGGGTTGATATCTTAAAAGTCATTTGCTTGTGTTCCTTGCTAATTTTGGTATCTCCAAGAATGTTAATAATTTCTGGAAAAAATCAGGCGATGAGATGACGAGGGTGATATGGACTATGATAAAGGAGAAAGTAAGGATGCAATTTATCAACAAGTCTGTACCGTTTTGATTACTTTTTTTTTGGACAGAGCTCACATGTCTATTTCTTATGTTTGCAGCTTATTCTTCCTTATCTGGATTTGGACATTAAGTACTTCGACTTGGGGATTCTAAATCGTGATGCTACTGATGACAAGGTTACCGTTGAAAGTGCAGAAGCAGCTCTTAAGTAAGTGTTACTGATTCTTTGCATTTTATTTGGTTTAGACTCTTTTAGTATTAGAAAACATTTTAAAGCCTGAATGGTAATTTGTAGTTTTGGCCTCTTATTTTCCCTTTGCAGACTCTTGTATCCACGAATGATTTCCTTTTTTTTGTGTGGCTTTGATTTATTATTACTCTTTCTCTATGTGAAATTAAGCTGATTTTGTGCTTAAACTGTTTCCGTTGGCAGGTACAACGTTGCTATCAAATGTGCCACTATAACTCCTGGTATTTGATGTCCTTCCCAACACATCTACTGCTTGTTTGCATCAGAGGAAGCATTTTTATATCTTCCCTATGTTATTTTTTTGGCAGATGAAGGTAGAGTGAAGGAGTTTGGATTGAAATCAATGTGGAGGAGTCCCAATGGGACAATCAGAAACATTTTAGATGGTTTGTCTCTATATTGTCAAAGAAAAATTCATGTTTACAGATATCTTGGTTCAATTGCTTTGCAACTTTTTATTTCATCCAGTTATGCAGGTTCCTTTTCAACCTTCATTGTTTTACTTAGTATTTTCAATGTTTTCTAGGAACTGTATTCCGTGAACCTATCATGTGCAGCAATATCCCCCGGCTAGTTCCTGGTAATTTTGTTACCTTGCGATGAATCTGTGTTAGGATTTACATTGAGATACCACGTTAGAACTCAAATCTTTTGTCTTTACAGGTTGGAAAAAACCTATATGCATTGGTAGGCATGCCTTTGGTGACCAGTATCGTGCCACTGATACAGTTATTAAAGGGCCAGGAAAGTTGAAAATGGTTTTTGGTAAGACAATACTAAACTATATTCATTAGACCATGATGATTCTTCAATCATATAGTTCAGATTGCAAGTGATTATATCTCATTGTCTAATTAGTCCCAGAAGATGGGAATGCACCTGTGGAGCTAGATGTATATGATTTTAAAGGCCCAGGAGTCGCACTAGCTATGTACAACGTAGATGAGGTATATCTCATTTATTAATTGGTTGTAGTTTTAATTAATTTGGCTGTGAAGATTTATTAATTTGCAACAACCATACTGTATTTTGTGACATGCAAGTCAATTCGAGCTTTTGCTGAATCATCTATGGCGATGGCATTTAATAAGAAATGGCCACTATACTTGAGTACCAAGAACACAATTCTCAAGAAATATGATGGCAGGTTTGTTTTCTATGTTATTGGTGATTTCCAAGTCCCGGTTTTGCATAAGCGAGCTGCACTATAATCTGGTTGAACGATACAGGTTCAAGGACATATTTCAAGAAGTTTATGAGGCAAATTGGAAGCAAAAGTTTGAAGAGCACTCAATCTGGTTAATATCTATTTGCTTTTACTTAACATTTGCGCCTTGCTTCTCCTTTTGTTAAAGGTGACATGTTAATGGTGTTTTTGTTGTAGGTATGAGCACCGCCTGATCGATGACATGGTGGCTTACGCAGTAAAAAGCGAAGGTGGCTATGTCTGGGCGTGCAAAAATTATGATGGTGATGTTCAAAGCGATCTTCTTGCCCAAGGTATAAATTCAAAACTACAATCGTTGATTTTTATTTGTGTGAAGCAAGTAAAGTACTTAACACGTCTAATTGTTTTTCTTCTTCAAATGTAGGGTTTGGCTCATTAGGTCTCATGACCTCTGTTTTGGTTTGTATCATAAACCTAAAGTCATTATTCAGTTTTCGTTAAAAAAAAACTCTTCACATGATAAGTTTTGTTTCAGTTGTCCTCTGATGGGAAAACACTCGAGTCAGAGGCAGCTCATGGAACTGTAACTCGACATTTCCGACTGCACCAAAAGGGACAAGAAACCAGTACTAACAGCATCGCCTCCATATTTGCATGGACACGTGGCTTAGAACACAGGTATATAAGCCTCTTTCGCACACAGCTTTATCATCCTTTGTTTTGCTATTCTAGCTAGTAGCTAGATTAGCTATTGAGTTCTGCGTTTATTCATGCATTTACTTATTCCACTTGCAACGTGCTTGTGCTTTCTCTTGATCACCATTTGATTGATTCTTCTGCCCTTTTTGCTGCTCAAGGGCAAAACTCGATAAGAACGAAAAACTAATGGATTTCGTCAAGAAGCTCGAGTCGTCGTGTGTAAACACTGTTGAGACAGGGAAAATGACCAAGGATCTTGCCCTTTTAGTCCATGGTCCCAAGTAAGTTGCCTTTCCTTTTCCAACTAGCAGCAACTTTTCCATTACAATCTGGTCATTTGCATGAAACACAGAAGAGCTTAAACCGTCTTGATGTTTTATATAACCAATCAAACCCGAAAATGAATTTAAAACTGATCGGAAGAAGCTGAAGAATGTGCTGGAAAGTCTTCAAACTAAGTTGTGTATTTTGATAGGAAACCATTTAGAAACCAAACCGATGCATACTAGATTCAGTCTTATTGCCGTTATTATTACTCTTGATGGTTTAATAAAACTTTTTAAATGCAGGGTGAGTAGGGATTTGTTTTTGAACACGGAAGAGTTCATTGATGCAGTAGCCTCCAAGCTCAAAACACAGCTCCACGAGCTTCCTCTTGTCTGAACAATTTCTGAGAACAATGCACCAATAATGTCTCGCCATAGTTCATAACGTAACATAAAAATAACGGTATTGGCGGGCTGAATGATTTTTTTTTGTTGGAAATAAAGAAACGTTTTTGTTTCATTTTTCTAAGGTGTTTTAAAGAATATGAGTGAATATCTATTTTACATTCCGTATCAAACATGAATCATCTTGCCTTCAATAGCGATTTGCAAGTATGATCCAAAGTGAATTACGAATTTAAATTAATGATACACTGAAAGGTGGTATATATTCTAGGAAAAAATCACTTGACAATTTAATAACAAACGCAGGCCGAGGCAGGCTCTGTAATTGTATTTTCTATCCAATAAAAACTAAAACAGAGAGATCATGGGCGTCGGTTTAATAAAATCGTATGAAAAATCGATTGTATGCTTGTAGCAGAACCGTACCGGACCGGGACCGCTAAAACCCTTACTTTAGTTTTTAATGATGTCGCCTTGTCCGCTCAGTCTTGCTTCACCGGTGCGTTAAACCCTGTCCGATCTTCCTCTCCTCTCCGCCTCTCTCACTCTCATCTCTGTGTATGTGTAAATGTCATCGATTGCGAATCGAGCTAGGTCAACTTCTCTTCCGAATTTTCTCGCATGGCGTGCTTTGGGTTTTCGTACCATTTGCTCTGGCCGCCTTGGTGTCGCTCCCTCTGATCCAGGCTCGCCGGCCTCCGCTGGAACCAAAATTTTGGAATCTTTTAAGGAAGAATTCGAAGTCGGATCCCGCGTTGTCTCGTTCGAGACGGGAAAAATCGCTCGTTTCGCTAATGGTTCCGTTGTTCTCGGCATGGACCAGACCAAAGTTCTCTCTACCGTTACCTGTGCTAAGACCGACTCGCCTCGAGACTTCTTGCCTCTCACTGTATGTTACATCTTTCCCTATCATTTTCCTTTGGTTTCCTATTTTGAAGCAATTACGTTTGAATTGTCTTATTGGAATCTATCATCTATGAGGAATTATGAAATGGTCTAGAGATGTTTGGTATCTTTCTATGTTTTATGTATTTGTAAAATTTTCGATGAATCTGTGGCCTTCCGGCAAGAGAAGTTTGTCATTTAAATCGCGTTTGCCTGTAATGGGTTTATGGTGTTTTGTTTTAACTCAAATTTATAATACATCTTGTGAACTACTGTCAGGTTGACTATCAAGAGAAGCAATACGCTCAAGGTTTGATTCCAAGTACGTATATGCGAAGAGAGGGTGCACCAAAGGAGCGGGAGCTGTTATGTGGCCGGCTCATTGATAGACCAATCAGACCATTGTTTCCTTCAGGGTTTTACCATGAAGTTCAGGTATGAAATTTTCTTAATTCTTTAGGAACTAGAGCTCGTAACACAGTCGTGTATATATATAGAAAATAAGAATTGGTTCCCCTTCTTCTATCTTCAAATTCTACCAAGTTAAAGCCTTAAACTCAATGTAAAAAAAAGAAAAGCCTTAACCTCGTGAAGATTTGAAAATGTGAGATTGCAATTCTGAGATTCTCTAACCAAAACTAAATCGAATGTTTAAGAAACAAAAATTGAAGTTGTATTTTGTTACTTATCAGAATTTTAGGTGATGGAAAGATGAACCACATACGCATTCCGGTTCGATAAATGTTGTTACCCTCCTAAGAAAAAAGTGATGTTGTTACAAAGGGTCACCTTCATTTGTAAACTTTTGTCACTCGCAGATAATGGCAAGTGTTTTATCGTCGGATGGGAAGCAAGATCCAGATATACTAGCAGCTAATGCATCATCAGCTGCGCTCATGCTATCCGATGTTCCATGGGGAGGACCCATTGGAGTCATCCGAATAGGCAGGATATGCGGGCAATTCGTTGTCAATCCAACTATGGATGAGGTAAAAAAAGCAGTATATTGTTATATGTCCAAAATTTTACAAATTTTATAGCCTTCATTTTTTGTACTTTTGTTGTGGTCAAACTTTGTATAGCTTAGCTCAAGTGATCTCAATTTGATATACGCTTGCACAAGAGATAAGACTATGATGATTGATGTTCAATCCCGTGAAATCTCAGAGAAAGATTTAGCTGCTGCCCTGAGGCTTGCTCATCCAGAGGTAGGTTCGAGAACCTTTGCCCTAGTCAATGTAATGTTACATAGTCTTGACTCGTTTTTTTACACAGGCTGTTAAGTATCTTGATCCCCAAATAAGATTGGCAGAAAAAGCTGGGAAACAAAAGAAGGAGTACAAATTGTCAATGCTTTCTGAGAAAACTTTAGAAAAAGTGACTGAATTGGCTGCAACGCGTATTGAATCGGTCTTTACCGATCCTTCATATGGAAAGGTGTGTGTGTTCGCTTTGTTTCTATCTAAAATTTTGATTTTAAGCTCCTGGCCTGATAATTTTATATATCCAGTTTGAACGTGGAGAGGCTCTAGATAACATTGGAAAAGATGTAAGAAAAGTATTTGAAGAAGAAGGTGATCAAGAAAGCTTGAGCATTCTTCCAAAAGCTGTTGATACAGTGAGAAAGAAGGTAGGCTTTGTAAATCAATGTTTGGAATTATATTTGGATCCTCTTTGCTCTCATTTTGGGTGAGCCTGTTCTGATAAACTTGACATAAAAGCTAATAATTGAATCATATAATTAAATATGCTCATTATGGAAAGCAATATTAATTATCCTTTGTCTAATTATTTTTTATTCTTAAGTTTATGAATTTCATTTTTACTTTCAGACACATTAAAATGTATGGATCTCAAGAGCTTTCAGAGATTGCATAGAGAGTCACTAGGGATGTTTTATAGGCTTTTGTATTTTTCCCTTTTGTTTCCTGTCTTACTACTTTATCCCTTTAACTAAAATATCAGGTAGTCCGTTCAAGGATGATATCAGATGGATTTCGAGTTGATGGGAGACATCTTGATGAAGTTAGGCCCATCTACTGCGAATCACGTTACTTACCTGCGCTGCATGGATCAGCAGTTTTCTCACGTGGAGATACGCAGGTTCGTCCTGAAACTTTTGTTTCAGAGTATAAAATAATGGTAGAAACCTTTACTTCCTAAAATCGCCTATAAATTGAAACCTTTTGAACCAAGCAAAATGGGAATCTCATGGTATAAAGTTGCAGTAGATTAAAAAAACCCGGATTGCTTTCCTTATATTAAATGGGAAGCACTGACATAACTCTGTACTTTGTATCACTTATATTGCTTTCCTAGCGTAGTTTCATTTTTACTGCTCAAAAGTTGTAGGCCTGACGTGTTGGAGACAAGCTTAATCGGTTTACTGTATTTAATTAGAATCTTGCTTAAAGATGTTTTGTATGTGTGTTAAAAGGTGCTCTGTACTGTGACACTTGGCGCCCCGGATGATGCACAAAGCTTGGATTCCCTTGTTGGCCCCCCGAAAAAGAGATTTATGCTTCACTACAGCTTTCCTCCATATTGTACAAATGAAGTCGGAAAACGAGGAGGCCTTAACAGGCGTGAAGTTGGTCATGGTAAGGTCTTTGGTTTCCTTTGTCAATTTGCATTTAATGTCCTATTCTATATTTGTCAAAACTCAAAAGGTTATCCTCAAGTTTCTTTATCGGGTTTTTCAAATCAACTATCTTTGTTGTCTTAACTGTCTCTAACATACTAGCAAATTTGTCATCTAAGGAACATTTTTGTGTTTTATGCTTGACCGCGTTTTACATTTTCTGTAGGAACACTTGCTGAGAAAGCATTACTAGCTGTCTTACCCCCTGAGGAGGCTTTTCCTTATACCGTTCGTATAAACTCAGAAGTAATGTCCTCAGATGGATCCACGTCAATGGCAAGCGTTTGCGGAGGTATTCATACTCACTCAGCAAACCAATTTTTATTATGTTTTTGCAAGTGTTTGCGGAGGTGTAAAGTTTCATATGTTTCTATTTTAACTTCAATATGAAAGGCGTTCCGCTTCTCAGGTAGTATGGCACTAATGGATGCTGGAATTCCTCTGCGAGCTCATGTTGCGGGTGTCTCTGTTGGTCTTGTCACCGATGTAGATCCATCAAGTGGTGAAATAAAGGACTACCGTATAGTAACTGATATTCTGGTGAGTTCTCTAATTTTAAATTGTTGCCTTTTCTTTTATATGGTTTTGTTATGTGATTAATCATGAAACTGAACTGTGCGGCAGTGCCTTAGTTAGTTTAAGTTGGTACGATGGATTTAATAGAACTACATCCATTGATTTCTCAGGGTTTGGAAGATCATCTTGGAGATATGGATTTCAAGATTGCTGGCACACGAAATGGTGTGACGGCGATTCAGCTGGATATAAAGCCAGCTGGAATACCGTTGGATATAGTTTGTGAATCCTTAGAAAATGCACGTGAAGCCCGTCTTCAGATTCTTGACCATATGGAGAGAAACATAAATTCTCCACGACGCCAAGATGGGGCTTCTTCTCCTCGGCTAGGTTTCTTACCCACTTGTTTTTTCGGTAAGCTTAGCTAGTAAAAAATTTCCTGCTTAAATTCCAGAATTATGTCTGTCTTGCAGCAACGTTCAAGTACAGCAATGATTCACTTCGTAGCTTGATCGGACCTATGGGTGTACTCAAGAGAAAGATTGAAGAGGAAACAGGTTATTTGTCGACTTCAACTTAATTGTTAAAAGCTTCTTAGTTGTGACTAAAAATATCATGTTGAATTGAAGAAGTCAAGTGCTTTTAAGAAAGCACTGTAGCTTCAAAATGAAATTCACTCGGTTTCTTATAGTTTCGCTGGAAGCTTTATTCTGATAAATAAGGTTCTTTGTTTAGGTGCAAGATTGTCTATTGATGATGGAACATTAACTATTGTTGCCAAGAATCAGGCTGTGATGGAAAAGGCTCAAGAAAAAGTATCTTTCAGTCCACTCAGCTTTTAATTGATTAGTAATCTTCCATGAATTCTGATTTTATGCATGTCCTCAGGTTGACCTCATCATTGGTCGTGAAATAGTTGTTGGTGGCGTGTACAAAGGCACAGTGACATCTATAAAAGAGTACGGTGCATTTGTTGAGTTCAGTGGTGGTCAGCAAGGTCTATTACATATGTCTGAGCTATCTCATGAACCAGTAAGCTTTCTTAGTGAAAACCTGTTTCCGCTTCTTTGCCCCTACATTTTCTCAAGTAAACCTAAATGTTTTCATCTACCAATGCTTAGAACGACGATCTCAGAGTTTTCTTTTTCTGCCATTATTCTAGTTTAGATTTGGTTTTAACTTACGATGACTTTATGCAATCCTCCAGGTCTCCAAGGTTTCAGATGAATTACATATTGGCCAGCACGTCACTACGATATGCATCGAAACCGATGTCCGCGGCAACATTAAATTATCTCGCAAAAGAGTGTTGCCCATCCCCAAACGCAAACCAGCATTTTATCCTGAAGAAGACCTGGTGATGAAAGAGTCGTCAGCAGTCTCCATAGAAACGTCTAGTATAGGAGAGACAGTTGCAAGCATGCCCAGTATCGTAACGCCACCTCAGAAATCAAAATTAGCAGTTCCTGCAGTTGTCATCCGTACTGCTGCAGAGTGTGAGGAGGCAGAGAAATCTCCCCCTGTGAACAGGAACAACAATCCCAAACGCACTGCAACACTGATGCCAGCTTCAGTAGTTTCTGATTCGAGTCTAGTATCATCTTCAAAAGCTAAGGAATCAACTAGAAAGGAGAATCAACCAGAGAACCAGGGTGAAGAGAGTGCATTGGTTAGTACCCGAAAACTGAAAATAGGAACAGAAATGATGGCCAAGGTAGTACAAACTCGAGAACTTGGATTGGTTCTTGATTTAGGTGGTGGAATCCGCGGTATGTACAAATTCGAGGTACGTTTCAGAAAATTACCTTTTTAGTTGTTCTCCCATGTTCTTGGTTAACTTGAGGCGATATACTTGAATTCTTGCCTGCGCTTTGTATTGATTGCTTACTATGTATGCTGAGTACAGGCAGGTGACAAAGAGGCACAGTTTAAAATCGGAGACACATTGCAAGTAAAATGTACAAGTTTTACTACAAAAGGAATCGCTGTGATGGCTTCGGTTGACAAAGAGGAAGACTAGTGGTAAACTCGGTTTCATCTCTAGAAAGTTTTCAACCCAAGGGATCATGTGGATCATACGAGAGTTTTGCTAGAAATGTTTTTTTATTTATCATAGGGATCGAATGAAGAGGTGATCATTTTGGTGGGCAAATCTTGGTAGATAGATTCATTGGCGTCACAATTTTCCTTAAAAACTAAATGAAATCAGTAGAGCGATAGACGAAAAGAGAATCTCCATCAGTGCATGTCGTTTTGTTTCTCTTTTATTGGGGGTGTTTCGTGAAACCGATGTGTATTCTATGATTTAGTGTATTATTAGTAACTGACGTATGAGAGTTTTCAAAGGCAGCGTAACGTAGGTCTCATCTCTTTGGTCCCGTTTCTGCAAAAATACAAAAAAAAAACAAGTCGGCAGCTAAAGATAGTAAATACGCACCCCAATGGTATTTCTTGAAAGATATTTTTGTTCATTAAATATCACATTTATTAACAACAAATTAAAATGTTAAAGATTTAATCTACGCAATGAATATCCCAAAGCTTGGCTGATTTGGTTCAAGTAACAGAGGTACACAACGTTATTTTAATTGAGTTGGCCACTAAACCTGAGGGTTTTTATAAATTCGAACTTTAAAATCTCTGGTTCAATAACAAGACAAAATGTTCACCCTAGTTGGCTAATTGAGGAGGACCTTTATAATTTAACTATTTAGATAGTCTGTAAATTATACTCGAAAATTGCCAAAAGTTTGCCTCTCAAACGTGTTTTTAATGTTCTTTCTCATGTTCATAAAGATTTATAAATTCATTAGACCAAAAAAAAGATTTTAGTTCAAAGATAATGTTTCATTGAGTGGTCGTGTAAGTAAGAGTCGTCGTCGTCAGCGAGTTTTCTACTCCGACAGTCATGGAGCCAGTTCTACCCAACAACAAAGCGCCGTCGCTTTCACATACGACTGTCTCGGTGGATTCCGATGGCCGAGCCACCGTATTCCGGCCATTCTCCCTCTCCTCGCCGCACTCACGAGCCTTTCACCTAGCATGGCTCTCACTCTTCTCATGCTTTTTCTCCACCTTCTCCATCCCTCCTCTCGTCCCCGTCATCTCATCCGACCTCAACCTCTCCGATTCCACCGTATCCGCCGCCGGAATCGCCTCCTTCGTTGGCTCTATCTTCTCTCGTCTCGCTATGGGACCACTCTGTGATCTCATCGGACCAAGGACTTCCTCGGCGATCCTGTCTTTCCTCACCGCTCCAGCCATTCTCTCCGCCGCATTCATCTCCTCTCCGACGTCGTTCATCCTCCTCCGTTTCTTCGTCGGCTTCTCCCTCGCTAATTTCGTTGCCAATCAGTACTGGATGTCGTCCATGTTTTCCGGCAACGTCATTGGTCTCGCTAATGGCGTCTCAGCCGGTTGGGCTAACGTCGGCGCCGGTGTCTCACAGCTCCTAATGCCTCTAATCTACACCACCATCGCCGAGTTCATCCCACACGCCGTCGCATGGCGCGTATCATTCGTATTTCCCGCCATTTTCCAGGTTACAACCGCCGTCCTCGTGCTCCTCTACGGCCAAGATACTCCCAACGGCAACAGAGATGCATCGAAACGAAACAAAATCAGATCCCCCGAAGAAGAAGAAGATTCGAATTTAGTTGAAATTCTCATCGGCGGACTTGGGAATTACAGAGCGTGGATCTTAGCTCTGCTTTACGGATACTCGTACGGCGTGGAGCTCACGACGGACAACGTGATCGCCGGATATTTCTACGAGCGGTTCGGAGTGAATCTGGAGGCGGCGGGGACGATCGCGGCGAGTTTCGGGATATCGAACATAGCGTCGAGACCGGCGGGAGGAATGATATCGGACGCGCTGGGGAAGAGATTCGGGATGAGAGGGAGGCTCTGGGGACTGTGGGTGGTGCAGTCGGTGGCTGGGTTGTTGTGTGTGTTACTCGGACGAGTCAACTCGCTTTGGGGATCGATCGCCGTCATGTGGGTATTCTCTGTTTTCGTTCAAGCTGCTTCTGGCCTCGTCTTTGGCGTCGTCCCTTTCGTCTCTACCAGGTCGGTTCCATTTTTTCATTTTGATCTCTTTGATTCCATTCGGTTTTGTTAATCATTTTTCGGTTTGATTTAATTTAATTTGGTTTACTTTTGTTGTATAAATGACAGATCTTTAGGAGTGGTGGCGGGGATTACGGGAAGTGGCGGCACTGTGGGTGCGGTGGTGACGCAGTTTCTGTTGTTTTCAGGAGATGGTGTTAGGAAACAGAGAAGCATTTCACTTATGGGTTTGATGACTTTTGTGTTTTCTCTGTCGGTTACATCTATTTACTTTCCACGTTGGGGTGGAATGTGTTGTGGCCCTTCGCCGTCTTCTGGAACTGATGATGTCTCCCGGGGACTCCTTGTAGACGGCGATGAAGAGGAAGCTGATACAGTGAATCGTCCCGTTTGTTGATTTGGCCTAACGGAAATAAGTAATGGGAAAGTTTTAGTATCCGTATGCAAAAATATTCTTAGGCAGATTTATCTTCTGCTGTTGGGGATTTTGTAGATCAAAATGGGGTTAAGGAAGAATTTGATGTTGCCATGCTTAAGGAATTACTTTCTCACACCACAACACTATTACAAAATAAGTTTGCAGCTTCTATGTATAATAACTTGGAATGGTACTTAATTAGGCTAAGTGACACTAACAAAATCAACTCTGTGTGTTCCATGTTTATATATTAGTGTTCCTCAGAAGAAAAAAAGAAAAAGAAAGAAAGAAGAAAAGAAAAAAAGGGTAACATCACAAACATTTTGATGCTCTCATTGATTGTTAGTTTCTTTTATCCTTTTTTATGAATCAAAGAACAAAAAAATCAAAGTAAATCAGTCGTACAATTCAAAGCATACATTATGCATTCATAGGTACGTGAGACTGTTACCAAGATTATTATGCTTGTATTGCGATTTGCGACAACTTCTTATATCAGATTTACATAGAAATCAACTTACCATTTGGAGAATGAATGAAAGTCACGGACGTTGATAAAGATAGACGGTAGAGAAAAAACTCAGCAGGGGTGACCTGAGAACACATGAAACCGGAGAGATGTAATGGTCATCACAGTCGTTGAATGCACATGTGTTCTCATGTCGACCCTGTCGAGTTCCACTACCTTAAGACGATATTTTATCTCTCTTTTGAACCCGTAAATAATAGGAAAACCAATTCGAGTTCAGATTTCTCTGAAAACTTATGGGAACTATATATATACACACAAGTTATGAATGGATTGGGTAAAGAGTAGTACACAAATCTGACGACAACGCATTGTAGTACACTGGCTTAGTATTATTGCATTCTGTAGTACAATTTTTTTCAAAAACTTCAGACAGACTTGTGTACCTTGGAAACTGATTAAAAGAAGAAAACAACATTGTACTTGTTTGAAAGTACAAAGGAAAGTTTTGTACTAGTTGGAACGTCAAAAGAGTACTAGGACGTGTTCCAAAGATACTCCACGTGTTTTGTTTACTATTCACAATAGATATTTCTTTCACGAGCCTGCAGCCTTGGAGTTATATTTTTCGCAATAGAGATATTTTATGATTAACTGATACATTATAAATACTATCGTATTTATTATACTTGATATATATTTTTGCGAGTTTATTTATCTTAAAACTAAAATTTCAGTGTTTTTGGTTATATAAGTAGAAAACTTGTTGTTAAAACTGAAACATCACCGCAAATAATTTCCGAAGTATCATTTTTTAATTATTTACGGAAAAAGGAATGAAGTGATTATTATTAGTAATATGCTGGGTATGAACTGGACCGGGCTTCAATTTTGCCAGTGGAAGTGTTCGCTTTACGAAAAAATTAGAGAAAGGCCCACCTCACCAGCTTTACTCTCACCAGCAGCATCTCTCTTGCTTTCTCACTCTCCAAGTCTCCTCCCCGTGAAAGCTCATCTTCACCTTCCACGTGATTTGTCTCCCCGATCACAAGCTTCTCTTAGCTCGACGCCATCGTACTTGGGTCTCGTTTCAATCAACCCAGTAAGTAAAATCTTCCGCTGACTTTGAGGAAGATTCTTCCATGTTCGATTTGATCCGGCTCCAGATATCCAGAGTTTATTGCTTCCAAACAGTTTGACTTCAAACCAGAGAAAAAAAATACGACTGAGAAAGGGAGAGAGAGAGAGAGAGAGAGTAACCGTCTGATTGACTATGTAAAGTTGTGCTGATTGACAGAGGCTAATGGCGGGAAAATTGACTTGAGCGCGATTTAGTTGGGTGGGTGGATCCAAAAATGAAGAAGAAGGCGTCGCATCAGAAGTTACTCTACAGATGGAAGAGGAAGGTATACGCTACATTGATGTTCGCTTTCTGCTTGGGGACTTTCGTATTTATCCAAGCTCGTTTTAGTGGAATCACTGCGTCTCTCCACTCGCTGAAGAAGCCTCGTCTCCATCAGAAACCACAGATTGCTTTCCTCTTCATTGCCCGGAATCGCCTTCCTCTCGAGTTTGTCTGGGATGCTTTCTTTCAGGTATACATACACTTCTCCTCCTCCTTTAATTTTTGAGTATCAGATGTGATATTCATAGTTTCAGAGAACTGGCCAGGCAAGATGGTAGAGGTTTGGGATCAATTAATTGACTCCCCTGTGTATCGTCACTAAAATCAGCTTTAAGTCACTAGAGTTGGAATATTCTGGATGTTTTCTCTGTTGGGATGTGTGTTCTTAGTTATAAATCATGGTTTATAGCTTTAAAGAAGTGGTCAAAGCCATGTTGAAGTATTGAGCTTGGTCCATGATAATATGTTCCTTTTCAGGGTGAGGATGGAAAGTTCTCAATATATGTTCACTCTAGACCTGGATTCATTCTCAGCGAGGCTACAACTCGATCCAAGTTCTTCTTGGATCGGCAAGTTAATGACAGTATACAGGTTTCTGCTATGAGAATGTATCAATTTTACCAATTCATGCATTTTTAGTTTGCAGCATTTTTTTTTAATTCAGTCTGATTCATTTGCTTATTAATTACAGGTAGACTGGGGTGAATCAACCATGATTGAAGCAGAACGTGTATTGCTCAGACATGCACTTAGAGATCCATTTAATCACCGCTTTGTTTTTCTTTCTGATAGGTAAGATTGCTTCCGTAATTACTTTTTTATGTCTGGATTGCAGTTGATGGCCGGCCTAACTAATTATCAGTTTGTCTGGTTTCTCTTCTCAGTTGCATACCTCTGTACAGTTTCAGCTACACTTATAACTATATCATGTCAACACCAACTAGTTTCGTTGATAGGTACGTGCTGCTTAATTCTGTAACTCCATACTTCAATTTTGAGTCCGACAAGAATTGTAGCTTTTCTTTATTGCAGCTTTGCAGATACAAAAGATAGCCGTTATAATCCTAGAATGAATCCCATTATTCCTGTTCATAACTGGAGAAAAGGATCACAGGTGAAGTTCCAATCCTTTCTGTTAAAATGTATTTTTAAATGGCCAAAAATTCTGTCATTCTGAATGTGTTCAGTTTAGCTGATATCATCTCTGCTATGTTTTCTTTGTCTTCTTGAAGTGGGTCGTTCTGAATCGAAAACACTCAGAAATTGTGGTGAATGATACCTCCGTCTTCCCTATGTTTCAGCAGCATTGCAGGGTAAGTTACTGAAACCTTCACTTCATTAGCAAGCTTGGGAATAATTGGATTTATGAGCTGTCCACTACTATAATACTGAAAAGAGGGATATATGCTCTTTAGTTTCGTTCATTCATTTTCAAAATATAGGTGGTTTAGCTGCCAAGAGGGACTTATGACCACTGATTTTAGATTTGGGTGTTATTGTGAGAGTTACTTTGTTAGTGGACTGTTCACTGTTAGCTCACTCATACACTTTTTCTTGCATATGATCTTGCAGAGAAAATCACTTCCAGAGTTTTGGCGAGATCGTCCTGTAGTAAGTTGCTTGTCTCTGGTCACATATTTTAATTACCGCACCATATTATCAGTTCCTTCTCGCCCATAAGCTCATATCCACTCGATTCCTGGACGTTTTAGTCTGTAGAATCTGGCAGGCATTTATGGTTTGATAACTTGGACACGATGTGTTGTACTAATGTAGTCTTATTGTGTAGCCAGCTGAAGGTTGGAAGGAACACAATTGTATACCTGATGAGCACTACGTTCAGACATTGCTATCTGTAAGATTAATGTGTGATCCAACCATACACATTGTCATTTAGAAATGAATGGTAAAAATTAATCAAATCTGGTAATGCTTCTTAAATTTTCAGCAAAAGGGTGTAAATAGCGAACTCACACGACGATCACTGACACACTCAGCTTGGGACCTTTCTTCGTCTAAAAGTAACGAACGTCGTGGATGGCATCCTATGACTTACAAGTTTTCTGATGCTACTCCTGATCTAATACAGTCCATTAAGGTATACATCGTATCACTTGTCAGATCAAAATGAGAAATTGTGGGTTCAGATCTTGTAAACTCCGGGCATTTGGTCTTACGGTTTAGATATCTTGGATTTTGAGTATTTAGGCTCGGCTAGGGTCTTAAAATTTTGGTTTAGTTGGGGTTCACGAAGTAGTTACCAAATCGAAACCAGATTCGGGTTAATTTTTCATGTTATGGTAATGCATTCTTAAGAACAACATTTTATTTTGTAGAACTAAAACTCTCCATTACAATATATGAATCTTCTTTTTTCTTGCTGTGGCTTTAACCCTGTTACATACTTAAAACAGAAGTAGAATCACTAACAAAACACATTGATTCACAGGGAATTGACAATATCAACTACGAGACTGAATATCGGCGAGAATGGTGTAGCAGTAAAGGGAAACCGTCGCGGTGCTTCCTCTTCGCCAGGAAGTTCACTCGTCCTGCCGCTCTCCGACTCCTCCGCGAAGTAAACCTTTCTTCTCAGTCATCGGTTAAACTAAGAAATTAACATCACAAACATATTAATGAGCTCATTGTGGGTTTCTTGCTTCCTCTGTTTCTTTGGCAGTCGATCTTGTTAAAGGACAAAGAGCAAGAGCAAGACAATTAAATAGCTCGTTCCCCATTCATAGTCATAGCATATATCACACGTAGGTACGTAAGTTTACTAAGAATTACAATGTTTTTATTTGTTATTTCATTTGTAATAATACTACAGGTTTCGAAATTACATAGAAACTTACCATTGGGTATATGAATAAAGCCACGGCGTTATTACTTGAAAACGGTAGAGAAAGAGCTCAGCAGGGGTGACCTGAGAACACATGAAAACGAGAGATGTAACAATTACATGATCGTCATTACAGCCGTTGATTGCAAATGTGTTCTCATATCAACCCTGTCGAGATCCACCACCTTCATAATATCTTCTCTTTATTACACAACTTGAGTTTTTATTTGTCTCGAATCTGCTGGGAACTATATATAAAATGAATGATTGAGTAGTACTCAATATTACCACAAAAAAGATTGTAGTACACGGGCTAAAATTTTGTAGCATTCGTTTACGTTTTGTATAGTACAACAAAAAGATCAGACTTGTGTACTGCAAAATTCTTTAAAAGAAAAAAGATGAGTCTTGTACTAGCAATTTTTTTTCGGAACTTCCATGGTATTATATAATTTCTCTATGGTCCCTAGTCACTTAAATATTCTAAATTTAGATCAAAATTCACAATTATAAAAAGGGGCCAAAGTAACAAAGGCCCATATTATTGAATTTGGTTTAGTGACTTTCATATATAGTGAGAGAAGAAGAGTAATAAAAGCCCAGAGCGTTATTTTTGCATACAATGGTCTTAAATTAAAAGTCCCACACCGTAAACAGACAGAGAAAGACAACGAACTCAAGTCTTATATAAGATGGAGAGAGCTTTCGACTACAAATCCCGGAGCCGTGCGATAAGCACAGAGCGAACTATTCTTTCGCCTTTTACTAAAGAATACCGTGTGCTTGTCGTACTTAGCGGCATACGCCTATTTTTGGAGGGTTGTCTCTTTTTGAGATCAGCTCTATCAATCTATAAACTGAAAATTTCTAATTAAATTTAATATCCTCTTTGATTAATCGATAAAGCTATATAACTTGTTAGCGGTGGTGTCTCCACAGTAAACTATTTATGACTAATTTTTTCGTGAAAGTGTGAGCTTACAGTTTAATACTTACGCTAGTCCCACATCGGAGAGTATTTATAAAACAAATCCAACGTTTTGCTTTAAAAGGGACTCGTAAACTTTGAGACAAAGCATACCTTTCTCGGCCTTTTGGCTAAGATCAAGTGTAGTATCTGTTCTTATCAGTTTAATATCTGATATGTGGATCATCGATCCACTCGATATTAACTCAATTTTTTTTGGGAGTGAGCCGTCGAAATAGCTTGCTATTTGTGCTCACGTTCGTCGCCCATGCGTTGCACTATTGCAAGGGCTTGGCGTATCCCACCAATCACAGTGCTAACTACTTATTATTAGTTATGTTAAAAAGTAATCTTCCTGTCTAAAATCACCCACTCTTGCTCTTGATGCAGTAAAAATCCTGTGGTTTCTTCCTCTGCATTATTACATCGAGTTATGTTTGAAATAATCGCTGGAGAAAGTAAATAGTTATGGGCTCATTAAGTCTCGAAGCCCAATGAGCTACACCAACTCGCCAAATGGGTGAGATAATTCGATGTTGACACGTTACAGTGGAAATGCTGGCTTAGATACGCAACGTTTTGGCTGATTGAAAATATTAATTTTCTCAAGGAAGTTTAGAAAATCATATAAAATCAAGGGAAGAGATTATTATTATATAATGCAATCGTTCGATCAATGAATACGGCTTTGTTCTCGGATAAGCAGATAATGGATCTGATGAACGACGATAATAATAATTCACAAGACGGCGATCACCAGAAGCACCGTGCCGGTAATTGTAGTAATAATGGCTTGGAGTCGAAGAAGGAAGCGATCTTTCCTAGCTATGATTTCCAGCCTATCCGCCCTAATGCCTCCGTCGGATTGTCTCACCACGCCTTAGATCTCGCCGGATCTGTTAATCCCACGGCGGCTAGGGTTTGGGATGTTTCTGATCCAAAACCGGTTGCAACTTCTTCCGCAAGAGTAATATTTCTAAAATTCTCATCTCTCCCCCGGTCTTTTAAGATTTGTGATCAATCTTCTTTGTTTGCGTTTCTGTTAGTTCATTACGATTACTGTATTTTGATTATTAGAATCGGTACTAAGGTTTAGAAGAAGCATTAACCAGTATTGGACTGTGTTAATGAATATATATATATATATATAGTCCTAGTTCCCAAGCTCCGGTTGTGTCCTTCACTGTGCCTACTTTGCCTGGCTTGTTGTGTTCTTTAGTTCATTGTGTGAAGTTAGTTGTGTAAGCATCATTTACATATCTCGTTTTGATGTTTGAAACACTATAAGGTATTGTAGAAGGCCACCTGATCTTTTAGGTACTATATATGATCTACAGCTATTTTGTCTATTGCTTACTTTTTTGTTTCATTATCAGGTTGTTTATATCTTGCTTGATGCTTGCATGGTTAGGATAATGACAATTATCACACTTTAGCCTTACTTGTTGCTTCTGTTCGTTCTTGCAGAGTTATGGTTCTATGGACTCTCTTGAACCTTCAAAGTTGTTTGCTGAGAAGGATCGAAATGCCCCAGACTCAGCCATTTTATCTGCGATTGATCGCACAATGAAGGCACATGCTGATAACTTGATACATGTTATAGAATGTGTCAGTGCACGTCTAACACAGCTGGAGACCAGAACCCGAAATCTTGAGAACCTGGTGGATGATGTGAAAGTTTCTGTTGGGAACAGTCACGGAACCACTGATGGGAAATTGAGACAGCTTGAAAACATCATGTTAGAGGTAACTTTTAACTCTTTTGGGAAACATAAATGAGCTTAGTTTGAAATTAGAAATAATTAAATGAATCTGAGATAATAGACAAACGTTCTTCTTTGCCTGTTGGATGCCATTTCTAGTCTGGCCTAGGATTATTGATCTTTTAACTTCAAAGAAGTTTCTGGCTTCATGTTTTTATTTTTCAGTGTCTTTAATGCATCTGGGCTTTCATACTTTTCGATATACCATCTATTAAGCTTCTAGATTCCTCAGTACCTTCTTTGTATGATTGCATTCAGGTGCAAAGCGGTGTACAGTTGTTGAAGGACAAACAAGAAATAGTTGAAGCGCAGCTTCAGCTTTCAAAGCTCCAATTATCAAAGGTAAACCAGCAGCCCGAGACACACTCTTCACATGTTGAACCCTCTGCTCAGCCACCCGCATCACTGCCTCAGCCACCAGCTTCTGCTGCAGCTCCCCCGTCTCTTACTCAGCAGGGCCACCCACCACAACAATTCATCCAACCGCCTGCCTCACAGCACAGTCTCCCACCACCTACATCACAACTGCCTCAGCTTCCTAACCAGTTCTCTCCCCAACAAGAGCCTTATTTCCCTCCGCCTGGTCAGTCCCAGCCACCTCCAACAAACCAGCCTCCATATCAACCTCCTCCTCCAATTCAGTCACTGCATCAACCACCTTACCAGTCACCTTCTCAACAGCCACAATACCCCCAACAGCCACCTCCACAGCTCCAACACCCTTCTGGTTACAACCCGGAGGAACCACCTTACACTCAGCAATCTTACCCACCAAACCCACCTCGTCAACCACCTTCTCATCCACCTACAGTTTCCGCTCCATCTCAACAGTACTACAACGCTCCTCCAACGCCACCATCAATATATGATGGAGCAGGAGGGAGATCCAATTCAGGTTTTGCTTCCGGGTACTCTCCTGAACCGTACCCGTATACTGGGCCACCTTCCTCACAGTATGGCAACACCTCGTCTGTAAAACCGTCACATCAGAGTGGAAGCGGATCTGGTGCTTACCCACAGCTCCCAATGGCACGCCCACTACCACAAGGTTTACCAATGGCTTCAGCCATCAGTAGTGGTGGAAGTGGCGGCTCCGGTTCCCCAAGATCAGGAAGCCAGGCCCCAGTTGATGATGTCATCGACAAAGTGGTTACCATGGGGTTCCCAAGAGACCAAGTGAGAGGAACAGTGAGAACATTGACTGAGAACGGTCAAGCTGTTGACCTCAATGTTGTTTTAGATAAGCTGATGAATGGAGATAGAGGAGCTATGATGCAGCAACAACCACCGAGAGGTTGGTTTGGTGGCCGTTAGCTCTTGTTGTCTCGTAATTGTGGTTTCACTGACATTGTATAGTCTTATATCTCTCATGTCAGATTTCCTCGAACTTGTATTTGGATTACCTTTGTGAACCATTTGCAACTTCATTATCTTTTTCAGTGTGTTTGGAACTTGAGGCTTCAGACATTTTATTTATCTTCATTTGTGTATTTGATGGCTTTCTGGAAATAACAGACTTCAGTTTTACAAACTACAAAGTCGCTGTGTAAAGCAGAGGCAACCTGTAGGCAAAAGAAAAGAACAGAAAAGCAGAGGCTACCTTTTTAGGCCGAAAACGACATGTAGTTTTTATTGGCTACAGTTTAACGACAAGATGTTTCTTCAATTAGATAGTTAGACGTCGTCGTTTAGAATCCCGCGAAATACACTAAAAACTCTGACTAGAAGTATCGTAGTTCTCTCTCTCGTTCCCTCGCCTCTCAGAGTCTATCTCTCTCTCTCGATTTTTCTCGTGCTTCACTGTTGTTCATCTTGACGATGTCGTTGACGGAGCTAGACGACGGACTTGTCCGGAGGATGGCCATCGGTGCAGTATTCTCCGATTTCGTATGGACGGAGTGTATTCTCCTATGATTTTGTATTACTCTGATTACCTTTACCCAGAATCCAGTTTCCAGGAATAATCCGTACAATTTTCGTTGTTGGATTTTAACAATTTACAGGGAGGGAAGATAAATTCGCTGGGTTTCCATAGGACCGATGATCTGTTGGTTACATCCAGCGAAGATGATTCACTTCGCCTCTTCGATATCGCCAACGCTAAGTCAGTTCTGCCTCCTTTTTTTTTTTAGGTTTTCTACTTAGCCTATCAAGTTTTCTAGAGAAACCATCATAGTTTACTTGATGTAATTGAGAAGAAGCTTTTGGTAAACTGATTAGTTGAATTTATGTGGAACAAGATAAAAAAAAAATTTTGGTGTAGAAGACTGAAATTTCAATTTCATCTGAAAGTTCCTATGGGTTGTTGTATGTAGACAGCTCAAGATTACATACCATAAAAAACATGGCACCGATCGTGTATGCTTTACACATCATCCTAGCTCTCTAATTTGCTCTTCTCGATACAATTTAGAGTCTACTGGAGGTGAGAGTTGCCCTTTCTCTTGCTTGAGATTGGTATAATCCAAGAATGGTGGATAATTAATTAAACTTGTATACTTTTTTTTTTGGTACCAGAATCCTTGAGATATCTCTCAATGTATGATAACCGGATCCTTCGCTACTTCAAAGGGCATAAAGACAGGTCTGCTATATAACATTTAGGAATTGGATATATGTTTACCTACGTACACTAGTTATATGCATATTGATGGAAAATGTTCTTCTCTTTCAGGGTTGTATCGCTTTGTATGTCTCCAATTAATGATAGTTTCATGTCTGGTTCTCTCGACCGAAGTGTCAGACTCTGGGATCTTCGTGTAAATGCATGCCAGGTTGGTTTCTAGCTTTACAAAGTCTCTGGAATAAGTCTGAATATGCAATCATTCTAATCAGAAAAGAGCCTATTTCTTTTTGTTATCCAACTTTCTCCCTGAAAATTAACTTTATGAATATGTTGGAAGTATGTAATGTTTAGAACAAGTTTTTTCAATTGAGGCTCTCTTCCTTGATAGCCTCTCTGTAAATGTATATAGTTTCATGATTCATGCTTACCCTTTTAGTCAATAGGGAATTCTGCATCTGCGTGGTAGGCCTGCAGTTGCATATGACCAACAAGGCCTGGTGTTTGCAATCGCAATGGAAGGAGGTGCTGTTAAATTATTTGATTCCCGGTGTTATGACAAGGTTAGCTACTTACTATGCGATTCACAAAGCCGCACACATAAATGCTCCTGTAGTTTCTAAGTTAGAACTACTTAACCCAGTTTTAATCTCTTCCGTAGGGTCCCTTTGACACATTTCTGGTGGGTGGGGATACTGCTGAGGTTAATGATATAAAATTCAGCAACGATGGAAAATCCATGCTCCTAACAACTACGAATAACAATATCTATGTTCTTGATGCATATCGTGGAGAGAAGGTAATCACATTCTGTATCTTTCACTTAAAGAAGACGCAGAACATTAGGTTTAAGCTGGTAAAGCCGGTTTGTTGTTTTGCAGAAATGTGGTTTTAGTTTGGAGCCTTCACAGGGTACATCCATAGAAGCCACCTTCACACCAGATGGCAAGTATGTTCTTTCAGGTAATACACTTGTCAGAAACTACCCAACATCCAAGTTTAACCAATAAACTCCAAATTATAAAATTAGTCAAGCAAATCAGATAAAATATACACCTTATAGTTAAGTTTTATTTTTTCTGATATAGGTTCAGGAGATGGAACCTTACATGCGTGGAACATCGAGAACCCATCTGAGGTAAACGCAGAACAGTCAACACCACTAGGATTGTACATATTCACTTAAAAGATGATGAATAAGTCAGAAATAGTAGCTACTAATTTTGCCTTATACAGTATCTATCTAAATTTGTCCGGGTTTTTTGTCTAAAAATCAGGTGGCGAGGTGGGAGAACAATATAGGAGTAGTGTCGTGTCTGAAATGGGCACCTCGTAGAGCCATGTTCGTTGCTGCTTCGACGGTTCTCACATTTTGGATACCCAACGACGGTGAGCCGCCAGCTCCCGCGGATCCTTCTGCTGGTGACCAACAAGCTCCTCCTCAGTGAAGACATTCATGTTTCCATTATGCATTAATGTATTGTGGTATTTGACAATTAGAAAAAATGTAAGCAGCAGCATTTTAATCACAAAAGATCTCTTATTTTATTCATTTTGGTTTTAGGAACTGGTCAGTGGTTACAATACTATTTAGTTTCCCTGGAAATAACCATTTTTGTTTTTATCTAAATGAATACTATTGGATAATAATTTGATATCAATGTGTCTTTTTTTTTTAATCTTTTGAGATTGCACGCACATACATCTATTATAATTGCACAAGAAAGAAACAGAAGAAAGAGTTGATCAACTGGGATTATTTGGTTTGGTTCCTTATTGGGCCTTAATACCCAAGATCGTAAATAAGAAGCCCAGTATTCCGTCCTCTTGTACCCCGAGTATGTTATGTATTCTCGTTTTGGCTAAAACCCTAATTCTCTTACTCTCTCGTTTACCTCTCTCTCCATCTTTCCCTCTCTGGTGGCGTATCAGTATCACCATGCCGAAGCATTACAGGCCAGCGGTGAGTGTCTCTGCTGGATTGAAGCTCTATTGTTTCCAATATCCGTTGATTAACAACTGTTGTAATCCATTTTATGTTTTCCCTTAGCTCGAGAACTTTTTGTGCTGATTTTGTCATTGTTTCTGAGATATTTGTGCTTCTGTTTGTCATTTGCAGGGGAAAAAGAAGGAGGGAAATGCGGCTAGGTATATGACCAGGTCGCAAGCTCTCAAACATCTTCAAGTTAATTTGAATCTATTCAGGTTCGTCCTTCACCGTCACTATTTTAATATTCTTTGGAATTGGTGCCTCTTGTATCCTTCATGTTTCTGTTGACAATTCAACTAGGTTTTTTCTGATAATTTGCTTTATGTTATAATGGTTCTTTGATCTATCCTCAATCCTCAGTATTGGAAAAACAAAAGCATTCAGTATACATTTTGTTTAATTTAATTTCTCCAAAGGTGACTAATCAATCTGTTATTGTACCTGCTGATTTTGGTATTTCAGGAGACTGTGTATTGTCAAAGGTATATTCCCCCGAGAACCCAAGAAGAAGGTGAAGGGAAACCATCACACTTACTACCATGTCAAGGACATTGCTTTCCTTATGCACGAGCCACTTCTTGAGAAGTTTAGGGAAATCAAAACCTACCAAAAGAAGGTCAAAAAAGCCAAGGCCAAGAAAAATGAGGAGCTCGCACGCCTTTTGCTTACTCGCCAACCCACTTACAAGCTAGATAGATTGATCCGTGAAAGGTTTGCTCCAGACACTTCTTGAATTTGTTATTTCTGTGTCTGACCATCCATGAGTTTAGACTATTAACACCCCTTTCTGCCTGTGCTCTTAATATTTAGGTATCCAACATTTATCGATGCACTACGAGACTTGGATGACTGTCTTACCATGGTTCATCTTTTTGCGGTGTTACCTGCATCAGACAGGGAAAATCTTGAAGTTAAGCGAGTCCACAATTGTAGAAGGTCAGAATCTTCTTTCTTCTCTTGGAACCTTGTGTCTTTACATATTGACTGCTTCTCGCAGTCTCATATCCATTAGTCTTACTTTTTCCCTTCTTTTGTGAACCAGATTGACCCATGAATGGCAAGCTTACATTTCACGTTGTCATGCATTACGTAAAGTGTTTGTATCTGTCAAGGGTATTTACTATCAGGTATTGTGTTACTTTATCTTGAAAGTTTATAATGGAATCAGTAGAGTACTTCCTCTTTTAATGAAACTTTGGTAATTATCTTGATAGGCTGAATTAGAAGGTCAAAAGATCACTTGGTTGACCCCTCATGCAATCCAACAAGTTTTTACAAATGATGTTGACTTTGGTGTCCTGCTAACCTTCTTGGAATTTTATGAGGTGAGAAATCCTAATCTCTATTCATTCTCTTTTTCCTTGTTAACTTAATTCATCAGTTCGGTATGAATTAATTAATTTGAGTTTCCTAATCTAAATTTATGTCTCAACTTATGATGACAAATTTTCATTCACCTTTTGATGCAGACTCTTCTTGCCTTTACTAACTTCAAGCTTTACCATTCTCTGAATGTGAAATATCCACCAATCCTTGATTCTCGGTTGGAGGCTTTGGCTGCAGGTATGTTGTCCTCCTCCAAGTAGTGATGAGATTCCTTAAGAGATATCTTTCAAATGGGACTTCTTATGTAACCATTAAAATGTAGGACCTGTTACTCTGATTAATATCGGTACATGTCTTCAACTTGCAGATCTCTATGCACTGTCAAGATACATAGATGCCAGCTCCAGAGGCATTGCGGTGGAACCTAAAGTTGATGCTTCATCTAGCTCACAGTCAAATGACCGTGAAGAATCTGAACTGAGACTTGCACAGCTTCAGCACCAGCTGCCTTCGAGTGAGCCTGGAGCATTGATGCATCTTGTTGCGGATAATAATAAAGAGGTTGAAGAGGATGAAGAAACAAGATTGTGCAAGTCACTGTTCAAGGATCT